CCGCCAGTTGCGGACATCTTACACAAAAATCGTGATATTAAGTACAAGCCATTAAATATTAAATAAACTGCGACGTGTATACACCATATGGTGGCGATGAAGGGATGTTAATTTGAAAATTTTCAAAACGCGTCTTTATTTATTTGGAAAAACAATGTGCCTAGCAAACAGTAGACGCTTGCTTCGTTTTGTCCATTTCAAACATTTTAATGACATAAACATCTCGGGGATTAGACAACAGGACATGTTAACAGGATGTAAGACACGTACATAAATTAACAGGCATTTGCACGGTGTCTAATAGTACGCTGTGTACATCTAAAGACAAAGTTGGTAAAGGGGAGACAATTCCATTTTATTCTTAACTTTGTTCCATTATAAACTATGATTAAGATGAACTGTATGTAAAATGACCCAATTATTTCAAACATTTTAATGATATAAACATCTCGGGGATTAGACAACAGGACATGTTGATAGGATGTAAGACACGTACATATATAAACAGACATTCACACAATCACACAGTGGACACATAGTACATACATTTGGTGTAGGGGAGACAATTCATTTTCAAACTTAACTTAAATGCTATAATAAACCATGCCTTAAATGAGCTGTATGTAAAATAATCCAATCACGACTCGTGTTTAATGGTATAATGATATGACTGCACATTTCCTACAATTGTACTGTTGCTTGTTAAGTTTGTCATAAGATTTCATTGGAAGATTCCAGTTACATCGTCTGAAAGAAATAAGGAGTCTGTTTCAGCACAGACTTTGATATAAATCTATAACTCCGTGGTTACAGGCTGAGATGGGTAACTAATGAGCACAGCATTTGACTTTCTGTTGTATACTGATAATTTCCATCTTTTACAACAATCTTCAATGTTACATGTTTTTTTTAATTGTTAAGAATACCAAGTGTTTCCCCCCCCACCAAAAATTACGAGTGTTGAAGTCGTGTTTACGAGCAAGTTCCTCCGCTAGTGTGTAGCTGACGTTTATAGATACGCTTGTGTTATTTCCCCGCCAGTAACCTTATTTCAATGCACGCTTTCTGTTGCTGTCACCTCTATACACACACTTTGTTCTTTCTTGGACACGTTATTTCGTTGAAACTGTAGGCATCGTTCCGATAAGGTTTCCAGAATTGTTTATCAAACCATTTTTTAATTACACGCTCTTTAAGTTTCATTGATGTTCAATCTATTTAAACAGATATTTTTTTTCAAATTCACCATAATCATCATTAATACTGTGTTCTGAGATTTTTTTCTTCATTCAGACGATTTCATCAAAGACACCTTGTACACAACAGTCAGCATCGCTTTAAAAATTATCAATGTTTGTACTTTTTCGAATTCTTTATTACTCAGGGAAAGAAGGATTTTTTTTGTAATTGTTGCACGAACCATCTTATATGGAGACAATGTCGGTACAATGAAACAGTCAGTAATCCGGAATAGTTTCTAGGGAACTCTGTAATGCCATTTCTCCTAATGTGTATTATTACTGTCAAGGAACGACAACTCTGGTATAGATTGTCTGTAAGATTGTACAGAAGCCACACTAAACAGTAGAGCCAAACAATTAATTAAACTACATCATACAGCTGTTTCGTCCTTCTAGGACTCGTCAGTGATTGTACATCATACAGCTGTTTCGTCCTTCTAGGACTCGTCAGTGATGCTACATCATACAGCTGTTTCGACGTTCTAGGACTCGTCAGTGATGCTACATCATACAGCTGTTTCGTCCTTCTAGGACTGGTCAGTGCTAAGGGCCTTAACTTTGAAGCCTAGGAGCTCGAGGCAACTTAGGAAAATCCAAAGTGACAGAAAGAAAAGTCCAAAACTAGATAGAGTTTGAGGTGCAACAACCCATAGATAATGAATTTTCTTAACTGGGTCAGTACTTGAATGAATCAAACCGTGGCATGCAGGTTACGGCAAACCTCGGGGACTTACAGTCCGCCAGCAGTGTGTAACTCCTGCTATCTTAAAGATGTACTAAAAACACACTTAGAAATCAATGTCGGCCATTATATTTTCTTTAATACACAGATTAGTATTTCTGTAAATATCAGCAATCTTTATCGGTAGGTAATGACCTAACCATTAATTGATATGTACTAGATATATCCTGTATTCTTCCTCATTAACTCTAACTTATATTGTTTCATATATCTGACTTTCAGTTTTGTAAGAACGAAATATTATACACTTTTTATAGTAATTGTTCTATGTTATGTTGCCAAAATTTCCCTATTATCATGTTTCGTGTAAGTATTATTATTCTGTTTATTGCCTCCAAAATGAAGAGTACAGAGAGTATAGAACATGGATAGAAAACATTTGATAGTATAAATACATGATAAATAGTATATACATGTATGTATAGGTGCACATGCACGTGAAACATCAAATTGATAAATTATCATAGAGTATATATGGAAGAGTTTGCATATACATAGTAAGTCATAGTTTTAATTCTACATGTCAAGTGTATGTCGTATGAATTAGGATTCACTTTGAGACATATGATATCAGCAGCATAATGATAAATAAGTATTAATACACTTGTGTAATACAATAATGTGTAAGGTATGCACTAGAAGGATAAATTTGTGGGCCAGTATCACACAGGGGTTGGGGAACCCACAAATTTACACAAAATTATGTAAATATGTCATACACATACAATATATCTTCATTTATAACATAATTAATATAATTGATTCATACATTAGGTATAGTAATATTTGCACATTTTGTAAACATACGTGATTGATATTAATCTAAAATCGATCAACTCTTCTTCGCTAATATTGTGGTTAACCTTTCCTCCAATCAATATATGTAGCATTTCGGAGTCTGATAGGGAGTGTAAATATACACTAAACAGTATAACCTTGACATCAATTATACAGCACCTCAGTTGATCTCTCAACTCTGAAGTATAGTTACACTGTAGTACTAAATGTGTTATTGGGTCATGATATAGAAACCCACATTTATGACATAATTCCATTGTCGTCAAGTTTCGAATAGTTACTACTATTTTCATTATATATTGTATATTTTCCCTGTATTGGGGAAACTGGAGCGCTAGTTTCCATAAGACGTTGGGTTTAAGCTGGTTATGTGTTTCAACGAATCTTGAGAAATCAGTATCATCTTTCATACGTTCAATAAAATTATGTTCTTCATATTTCATTACAGAAGTATACATAATAAATTCCCAAGTACATTTCTTTGGAAATACTCCAGTTTCAACAAAGTCGCTGAGATAGTGATATAATGAATATTTTCTCAGTATCCTTACTATGTCAGGAATAAATCCTTGTTGGTACGGTCTACCTAATTCAAACAAAAAGATTCTTGTAATAAAAATGTTATAAACTAGCGACATTGCATTCATTCTACACAATCTACCAAAAAATAATAATGTTTTAATGTCAATATATGCCTCAATAGAGGTCCAACCAAGAAGAGATGTACACACATCCGTTCTTGTTCTTTTTTCAAACCCCTGTTTAGATTTAACGACGAGATGTCGTGCTCTTTCCAACATTTATATCTCAGTTTTTGTTAAATTTCAGAGTTCACATCCATATAGGGCAGATGGATACACTTTCATTTTTATTAATTTTGCAACTGTAATGGGGTTAAGAGCACAAGGATGAGCCCCAGAACGTGTAAGTGCCATCGTGCCCGATCTTAATTTATTACACGCACTTTTTGTTCCCTCAAAAGAATTTCGTTTAGAATTCAATAAAATACCCACATGAGTAATTTCGTCAATCTGTGGCATAATACAGTCATAAAGATAAAGATGGTTGTACACAATACAAGTTCTAATATTTGGGTTTGTGAAAGTTACAAGTTTACTTTTTAAAGCAGAAAAAGAAAATCGCCATTTTCTACTATAATTTTCACATAAAGACATCATTTTCTGAAGATTTGTAGAACTTGTACTTACCAGACAGATGGCATCTGTTTGTGTAGGAACATTGACATTTATATCTACAATGACTGCACCTAAGCCGGAATTCTCTATCTCATTAAGTAAATCGTTTATAAATACTAAATACATTTTGGCGGATAACGCCCCTAATTGTACAATACCACGTTCCATTTTGAACAAGGGGGAGGTTAATCCGTTAAATAAAACACAACTTTCAACATTTTTCAGTGGCGTAGCAAAACATTTTTAAGAGTTTGTGTACATATATCTCACTTATGTTTAAGCATACAAGCATACATTATTGCTACGCCTCTGTTTGTGTACATAACTTTTAGTAACATCCACGTCTTAGCATTTAATCCTAATTTATAACTTTTATATAGCAACCCAGCGTGCCAGACAGTGTCGAACGCTTTGTTGCTGTCTATGTTATAGTGCCCAAATTTCCCTATTATTATGTTTCGTGTAAGTATATGTGATAACGATTTTAACGTGATTTTTTGTCATGTTAAGTCTTACCTGATACTATATTTAGAAGTACAATTAATGAACACGTTTCGGACAAACACTCGCAAGTACATATCTTAAATATGGGAACGTTATATAAGCTAATTTGTTAGTAACAAAATTTAAATTGAATATATATTTGAATTTGGTTTTTATACACCTGTATAACGAAAGTATTTATTTCAATAAAAATAATTCTATCTGATAGCGGAATTTTTCGTATACACCTTTACCAGAGACGTATATATGTGTTATATACGTCTCTGCCTTTACATGTATATCAACAACGAAAAGAAAACAAATGCCCTTATAAGCGACAAATACCTTTAGTTCGTTTGATAAGCTTATCAAGATTACCTATTAAATACTTACCTGCGCTCTGCTATCCCGAGAGATTTTCCGTTGTGTTGACGAAATTATATAAATATGTAAGTAACATGGAATAGGATTGAGATCGTGCTCAATCACGGATTTGCAGATTACCTCCCTTAGATAGGAAGTCTTCAGACAGGTGTTCGAAATAAAGGTAAACACACAGGTAGAACAACGTCCAATCGTTATGCTATTGTGACAGGTAAAATTGTAGGTATGTGATTGCTTCAAAGGCTTTGTTGGGTATAATTTTAACGTTTACGCTGTTGTAATGTGACAGAATAGAAGATACAAGACCGACGAACGCAAGCCAAGCACATCGCAAATGCATCATTTAATCTTAATGAGAAACTGAACTAGGCTATCCTTAGCCGAAATTTAATTCTACAACTGAAACAACCATTTATCGTCAATCTTCACTTACTTTGGAAAGCACATTTCACTTTTTCACATTTTACCATATGCACCAGATAACTAACGATAAATATTTTCAATTAAATAAAAAAAAGTGCTAGAACTTTTCGAAAGTTCGGTGATAAATGATTCTGAGATTGTATCGACCTATTTCTTTCTAATATACAATTATTATCATTATCAATTACCTATTTTCCCATCAATTTCAAACGTAAAATTACAAGTACTCTCAGATATTGTATGACTCGTTGAATAATACAAAATGAAAGCTATTGGAAATGTACATGTGTTTAAAAAGTAAAATGAAAACCAAATATTTTTGTTTAAACAATAATATAACATTTTGTAGAATGTGTGGGTTATCATCAGAGAAATTAAGTTTGATAGTTCACCTGTCTGACTAGCAAGGACAGTGAAATGATCTTTGGAGCCTAACATATTTTGTGGGCTGGTGTAATATAAGGGGGCAGATAGTTTTAGTACCAGGTTGTTTATGTACTTCCAAAATATGTTGTTTCTGTACATTTGAAAATGTTTTCATTTATGTATTTAATAAGGTTTTTTATGGTGTTTTGTCATTAATAAATATTGCTCATTCCATTACTGAAAAACTGTTCACTCAAAATGATACTATAGCTATTTGAACCATTTTGTAAGTACAGAAATGACTTTTGTAAGTACCAAAACCACTGGGTACCAAAACAACTTGGTACAGAAATGACTAGAGTTAATAAAATTAAACGTCTTCATATGAAATTATCATAAAATTTAGTTATAGATATCAGCAGTACATTTATAAAATGTTTATTTTTCAGTTTTTTTCAGGGATTTTTGGGACTTGAACATTTGAGGCTCTGACTCAAACTTTCCCAGTGGGTTTCAATTAAATTTTGAGACCCAACTATATCTCTTAATATAAGGACTCATGAAAATTTTGGCATTGGTGTTCTGCACTTGTCTTCAAAAATCTTACAAAAAACACTGTTTTCTACGTCTGTGTGTCTCTGCATGATTTTCTGGATAAAACCATCATTCTGGCTATAATATACCATCATTCCTAATGGCTTCATGATACCATGATTGTCACACACCTAATGATATTACTGTATGACATAGTTCACTTATATTGAATGTTTTTGGTATAACCATTGATCTTGTTTAAATATCATTGTGATAATAATATCTTCTTTTTCAGAGGTCAAAGTTGATAAAAATGTGATTACTACGCAACAGCCTCAATCACTATGGCAACAACAACAGTCAGCAATGTTTCAGATGTTGTATCTTTTGTTACACAAAGTACAACAGTTGGACAAAGCACCCTCTTGGGTGTCCTTAACAATGGGACAGACAACTCAGCCACATCAAGTCCACTGACCATAGGAAACATGACAGGTTTGTATACATGTCTGGTATTACAGGGGCAGATAATCCAATGTTTTCTATAATGTTATCCAAGCTAATATTGTCATGAGCTATTATGGCATATGGCACTTTATCATATCTATAGTGTATTACCAATAACCTAATGTTTGACTTTGACACCTAGGTAGTATAACCTACATGAGTTTTGATTGGCTGACAGTTCACGTTGTTGCCATTGCAACGTGATAGCTGCTATTGTGATTCCAGAATGAGACTGAGGACAATATATGTTTCGTATCAGTCTAATAAAATATTGATTTTAGAAATATTTACAAAATATCTAAGTTATGTGATCAATAGAATCTTACATTTGTTTCCATTTCCTACTAGATTTTCATTTTTATGAACCTTATCACATACTGGTAATCTTTATTTTATGACAGTCACGATAGGTTCTGTAAAATTTCAAAAATCTCAGACTCTTTTGAACTTGTTTTTAATGTAAATCCATGTAACAAAACCTCTATATAACAAAACCTACACTTCATTTCAGCTATATTTTAGTGCTTGTGTGTTGTAATTTGCCAAACAAATAGGAATCTATAATATCTAATATATATTTTGAAAAACAACAAAATTTGAGATTATCATGTATTTTGGAAGGTAATATGGGTTTGGTCTCTTGTTTTTATAAAACTGTGTGGTCCAATCTACAGTAAATGCATAAAAACAAGCATAATATCACCATTTTAGTATTATTTGAGTGTTAAAATGATGTAATTAAAAATATCGATAATACACTTATATTGATATATGATATAGAGTTCATAAAATAATTTTTATTGCCTTCATACAATTTAGATTTGACTGCGACCTTTGAACTTTGTCACAGGTATTCTTACTAACCACACAACTCGTAACTGGTCAGACTTTAACCCGACAGATGATGAGAGTTTCTCTGAGGCGATGAGTCCTAAAGATGAGACGTTGTTTGTGGCCCTGATTATCATGGGAGTAATAGTACCCGCCATCTTTATTTTCTCATTCTTCATGATCTTCTGGAGACGTTACAAACAGCAACAACAAAGAAGGTGAAGTTTAAATTTTCTGTTTGTCATTTGATCTGCATATGTGAAGCTGTAAGCCAATGCCTGTTTCAGCACACCCACAGCCACATATGTATATCAATGGTCGCTAATAGTAATTATCAATGGTCACCAATATATATATATATATTTATCAATGGTCACTCGTAGCAAAAATCAGTGGTCAACTATATATATATATGTCAACAGACACCCATATATATATATATATATCAACAGATGCCCATATATATATATATATGTCAACAGACGCCCATATATATATATGTCATGCCTATATATATATATATATATATATATATATATATGTCAACAGAAGCCCATATATATAAAATCAATGAAGTAATAGCAGAACCACGGACAAGTGAATGGTCAAATTTTCGAGGCAACCTGCCCCTTTATCAAGACACAAATATTACATAAATAACATCACATACATAGAACAAAAAATAAATACAAAGTTATAAATCTAAATCGAAAGTGGTGGTGTTAATCTTGGTGTCTCGACAGGCCCTTTATAACGGACAAAAAACCATCTCAAGTTGTTGCATGTAAGGTGGTGATTAAAATATTAAAAATGTTTTACATAACATTAAATGTTTTGCACTCTAGACACTCAACATATATATATATATATATATCAACTGTTACTTTCATATATATATCCACTATTTACGGTAAATAATATCATGGTGCTGTAATAAGACTACCCTAAAATTTGATTGAAAATTAATGTGTTGGTCTTAAGGAATTGTTACAGAAAACATGGGGTAGTTTGATAATATTGTTTGGTTTTGTAGGGCACAAATGCTGCTTCAAAACGCACAGGATGTTCCCATGGATACCATTCCTTATCGTATGCAGGCAAGACTGGAGGCTGGTATTCTCTGATAAAAGGATAAACACTGAACATCAAGACAGAGGCACAAGTTATAGAACAGAATCTGAAATCAAAATGTCATCTTTAGTGGAGACTGTACAGGATCACTTAGTACAGTAGAGAATCTACACAGTCACTTAGTACAGTAGATAATCTACACAGTCACTTATTACAGTAGATAATCTATGGGGTCACTTAGTACAGTAGATAATCTATGGGGTCACTTAGTACAGTAGATAATCTATGGGGTCACTTAGTACAGTAGATAATCTATGGGGTCACTTAGTACAGTAGATAATCTATGAGGTCACTTAGTACAGTAGATAATCTATGGGGTCACATGGTATTAATAATAGAGATTCTACAGGAATTATTAGTACTAAAGAGTAGATATATAAAGTTTGAATTTACAAGAAATATGACGAATTTGTACCTTATGCATACTTGCCATTTTTTCTGATTTTTAGAGAGAGAGACTCTGGGTTTGTAGGTTTGATACTACATTATGTATATGTGTATGTATTTATGTATGTATATATATTGTATATATAGACAGTAGGATACGTTCTAGAATCTGTAGGATTACTATTAAATGTTACTATAGACAGTAAAGGATTATCATTACCTGCTAAAATCTATCTGTTATTGCCACCTTGTCTGTAACAGACCACAACCTTTCAACTTTGGAACTAATTTCTAACTAAAGGTTAGGAGAGTACATGAACCAATGATACATACAGTGAAATAATTATTTAAGAAATTTAATTTTTTACTAACGTTCAATTAAGTTTTAATGTCAAAATATTGATTTGTGATTTGACAGATATATCAGTATATGTTTTGTGTAATAAGTATAATTTAGATTCCTCTTTATCTCTGACAGGATCATAATCAGGTTTCCATTCAAAAGTAAACAAGGCCAGATTGTTCAGTTTGATAAGAATACGTAGGAATTATGATAAGGCCATACTAAGGTTCATTGGTGAAATTTGATCAGAGAAATAGCAGGCTTCTTTCTGTAATTTGTAGTGAAAAATTCAGAAATAGGAGTGAAAATTGAGCAAGGGAGATAACCCTTTATATAATTTTGGTATATTTTTTTTGAAACAAAGATGGTTGTTTGTTGAGTTGGAATAGCATAATTAATTTTGAAGTGAAGAATGTTTTTTTGGTATTTAATTCTTGACTTTATAAGGATTATTTTATATGGAAACAATATTAAGTTGCTTTTGAATATAACTGGTTTTATAAAAGTACCATATGAATGTATATCAATCCACCTTACAGTACATACTGAAATGAGATACTATGGTGGTTCTTTCTTATATTGAGTTTATTTAAACAATGGACTTGAATTTTGAACATTGAAGCATATTCTAAACATTTATTGTTATATACAGTAAATATTTCCTACCACTGAAGCCAGAATGATTATAAATGTGTTTACATATGCTTTGAAAAAGTTGACTAATAATTGTACATATGTTATTTTATGGATGTTAATATATTAAATCCCTGTTATATATATATCTGACATGAACTGGTATGTTGATATTTATATTACCTTTATGTAACTATAAACTGTTAAGTCTGTTGTACTTATATGAATAAGGGTAACAATACAGTATGAGGGAACTGTGATAGCTCATTTGACTAGATATATAATCTGGAGTGTAGATCTGAGGTTTGTGGTTCGACGCTCCCTACTGATGGCGGTTTGTGTTTCTCAGGAAGCTGATAAACAGACCGGTCTGTACTGAACGTGATTGTGGCCTTGGCTGAGACATTTTACACAAACTATGATCAAAGTTACTGAATATCTGGGGTTCTTGGTTTCATGATCCTTGTTTGGGATGGCTCTGGTTTCTATGGAAGTTGAGACCATGAATTGTCCAGAGTTATCATGGCTGTGTTCTAGGGTAAACATTTTATGCCAAATGTTCTAAATAAAATATGGTAGGCCTGTTTTTTTATTATTTTGTTCACTGATGTAGCCAGCTGCTTCAATGAGGCCCATCCAAAGGGAGGCACTGTTGTATAGATGTTGTGGTTAAGACACCCCCCCCTGTATATAAACAATAACAGATACATCCACCAGGCCCTGTTGTATAAATGTATTGGTTAAGACACCCCCCCCCCCACCCCTGTATATAAACAATAACAGATATATCCCAGGCCCTGTTATATAATGTTGTGGTTAAGATCCCCCCCCCTGTATATAAACAATAACAGATATATCCCAGGCCCTGTTATATAAATGTTGTGGTTAAGACCCCCCTGTATATAAACAATAACAGATATATCCCAGGCCCTGTTGTATAAATGTTGTGGTTAAGACCCCCCCCCCTGTATATAAACAATAACAGATATATCCCAGGCCCTGTTGTTATAATAGGTTATAACTGTTTTGTATATGGTGCTTAATTTTTGTATACCAGTTAAAACAACAACTTAAACTATATTAAACTTATATTGAATTTCTTCTCACAAAACACTTCTCTTTGGTTATTAATGGTGTTTGGTGAAATGTTGTATTTTTATGAAGTTTTGCATTTACACGTATATTTGTAACAGCCTAAACTTTGCAGTAATGTTGACAAACTGCTCCAGATGTTTCATCCTAACAGTTTCAGAGAAATCATTGTAAGGTGATGAAGCAATTATATTGATATTATAAATAAATAGATGTTGGTAAGGACATTTTCTTAAGGAATTTTGATTATAATTTGTGATAATGGGGTCGTATACAGAAATATAAAGAGACCTTTAATGTTATTGTAATAGTGGTCAATTTATCACTAATATTTATCTTGTTAACTGTTTATAACTTTAAAATGATTTTGTCAATTTCCCACAGCATTACTTAATTGTTTATAATATAGATTTATCCTAAAAATTTCACTCAGCATTACATGTCTATTTCCGTTGTATGATATATGTTTGTGTTCCGCTTGTTAAACTTGATATTCCTGGTTATGATGTACACTATAAATACTGGCAATGTTTTTTATCTACAGTCAAATATTATCTCAAAGTCCAAGTAACTGTGGGAAAACTTGCAGTTATCCAAGTATTTGATTTAAGTTAATTTGAATGTTTAGTGTTAATTTAGCCGACTGAATACTTAAAGTTAAAAGGGGTATTTGAGTTATATGTGTTTGAGGTAACGAGGTCGGACTGTATTGGTCAGAAGTCTGAAATATTTCAGTAAAGTGATGTTTTTTATGTTAGTTTAATGAAACACTAAAAGTTGTTTACATGTTTGTGCACTGTGAAATTTAACATCTTGATCTTATTGGAATACACCGCCACATAAATTTTTGCCATAAAGTGTTCAAACTGAAACATATTATTTTAGACATGTCATATATTTGGAATTGAAGACAAGGAACTAAAATTACATATTGTGGCTATTTTAAAATTAGAATTTTCCTTGTAAGTTATAATGTTAGAGGTATCTGATACCCATTAGTATGCCATGGTGGTTCTGTTGTCATTAACATTGTTTTTATTTAGAGAACCTGACATTTGTACTCAGATTGATCAAGATTTACATGGCAGGTGTCATTAAGGAAGTAGAAGATGCTTACACTTTAGGAACACCTGGTTTTATTCTCCTTTTACTTTTTCAGTAGTCTCTGTGTAAATACAGATTTTGCCCTTGTTTCATAGAATTCTCAGTTTGAACTAAGACCCGTAGTCATGTCAGTATTTTCTTGTTGTTTTGTTTTTTCATTTGTTTAACAATCATATCAGTAATTCCAGAAATTTGTAAATACGGAAGAAATCATAATGTCTGGAGACTGAAATACATATCATTTGTGCCTTGGTTGTATGTTGAACAAGTGTTGTGAAATATACCCACTGCCTTTGCTATTAATGGTTAATTCTTTTAAATAAGTAAGTTCACATAAGTTTCTTTCTAAAACTGACATTCTGAGGATTATTTATTTTGGCAAATTTGTAGAGAATTCTAGAGTTTGCATCATTAATGATTTTTCTGTGACGGGGTTATAGAGTAATTTTAATGTGTTATCAAACTAATAAAAATGAGTTATTTGTCATTAGAAAAAATTTGAATTTGTACATACACACATGAACATGAGATGTTTATATGGTATCGTATTGTTTTTCATTATGAGTTCCAGACTTACACCTAGTACATATACTTTAGTGTTTTGTTTTCTCTCTCTGTATATGTAATGATTAACCACTTTAATCTGTGCCATGAACAAACTTTCCTTTATTTCATAAATTATTCATACTTTTCTTATAAAGAATGTGGAAATACTTGGAATGCATGTAAACTGTTAATATATTTGTAAATATTGAGAATATTAGATATGGAACAATTTTGAGCCATAAACAATTTTTTTTGTATGTTCTGTCAGTCTTTTGTATCTGTAAAGGGTGTCATTTTTGTGAAAAAAGATGCATTGAAGAATTTTAGATTGACTGTCAAAATGTTAGTCTGTTTGTGGGCAATATATCACTTTTTCATGATTTTTAATTTCAGTGTAACCATGACAATTTTCACCATCAAAAAGAACATCCTTTACAGAAACTGAGTATCACAGTGTATTAAAGTGTATCATAAAATTTGTCACAATATCACAGTGTATAATAGTGTATCTTAATAGGTGTCACAATATATCATACCCTATCATAGTATGTTTTCACAGTATAATACAGTGTATTACAGTATGTGTCACAGTGTATCACAGTATGTGTCACAGTGTGTGTCACAATATATCACAGTATGTGTCACAGTGTATCACAGTATGTGTCACCAAGAAACTTAGAAATGAGAAGTATACCTACTGAATCGACAGATATGATGATTCTATTGTAAGATACTTTATACTACTGTGGGTAAGGACAACCCTTATGAACCCTTATAAACAATAAAATACTGATTTGTAGTTCACATGATAATGCCAGTGAGTATGGTGAAAGATCTGTCATCTGTCAACTTTTAACTTAGTCTAGAAAACTACCAGCACCTGGATACTGATATTTGGTATGACAGTACAAGTATCTATGTTTGAATAAAATATTTTTCCTCATTTGAATGACCTTGACCTTTTCTTGTTTAGAGGTTGTATTTTCCTACCTCAAGGACTTAACAAACATTCCTATTATTCCTATTATAGTGTATTTGTGACCTATCATATAGGGGCTGCTCTGTCTGTATATCTAACTTCAGTTAAAGGTAGGAAATGTGGTTCGGACCACAAACAGATTGTTTCTCATGAAATTTGAGATCCTCTTTTTTCATGGTTGTGTTCTAACACTGAACACTTTACCTCAATCGCTGCGAACAACAAGTGGTGGGCCTCTCACAAGGTGTTTATTGAGGTAACGACCAGGTCATTAAGAAGGTTGTACATCAAAATACCTTCGTTTTTCATGATTTGATAAATCCAGCAATCAGTACCTGCCATCCCAGGTAGAGTTATCTACCTTTACGGCACATTATATTGTCATTTTTGCTGAGTTATCCCCTATAACTAAGCAGATATATATTGCCATTCTTCAGAAAATTACCTCCCTTGAAAATGTGTTTGTATATTTATCATATCATAGACAAAGATAAATCCATCAGTATGGTAAATTTAATGTTTTTATAAAAAACAAAGAGGATCTAGAAGCCTTACAGATGTTACAGTGGTAAAAGCTGACCAATAACATATACACTAATTTAATGTGATTGTGTGGACTAAATTGTCTTTCTATTGTTTCTTGATTAGAGATATTTTTCGTGTTGGCCCTTCATCCAAGATCAATGAGACATTTGCCCTTGGATATATGATAAATTCATCCTTGATTTGTATTTAGCCATTTTTGTTACACAGTACTTTTCCTTTAGGCCAGATTTTCAGATCTTTTGTAAATTCTGTAAGTAGTTTCCTTTGGTAATTGGCTGTAAAAACAAAATGACCAGCATATTTGACAGAGAAAAAAGGAACAATAAATGCCAACACAATGCATCAGAAATTCATTATCGAAATGAACACAAATATGAAAATGAAGGAATATCTGATTAAACCAAATGGTCAATATATATATTATATGTAATAAGATATGGAGTGGTGGTTTTTGTTATGTAATAAGATATGGAGTGGTGGTTTATGTAATGAGATATGAAGTGGTGGTTTATGTATTGAGATATGGAGTGGTGGTTTATGTAATGAGATATGGAGTGGTGGTTTATGTAATGAGATATGGAGTGGTGGTTTATGTAATGAGATATGGAGTGGTGGTTTATGTAATAAGATATGGAGTGGTGGTTTATGTTATGTAATGAGATATGGAGTGGTGGTTTATGTTATGTAATGAGATATGGAGTGGTAGTTTATGTTATGTAATAAGATATGGAGTGGTGGTTTATGTAATAAGATATGGAGTGGTGGTTTATGTTATGTAATGAGATATGGAGTGGTGGTTTATGTAATGTAATGAGATATGGAGTGGTGGTTTATGTAATGTAATGAGATATGGAGTGGTGGTTTATGTTATGTAATTAGATATGGAGTGGTGGTTTATGTTATAAGATATGGTGGTGGTTTAGTGATGGTTTATGTTATGTAATAAGATTATGTTATGTAATAAGATATGGAGTGGTGGTTTATGTTATATAATAAGATATGGAGTGGTGGTTTATGTTATGTAATGAGATATGGAGTGGTGGTTTATGTTATGTAATGAGATATGGAGTGGTAGTTTATGTAATGAGATATGGAGTGGTGTTTTATGTAATGAGATATGGAGTGGTGGTTTATGTTATGTAATAAGATATGGAGTGGTGGTTTATGTAATGAGATATGGAGTGGTGGTTTATGTAATGTAATGAGATATGGAGTGGTGGTTTATGTAATAAGATATGGAGTGGTGGTTTATGTAATGTAATGAGATATGGAGTGGTGGTTTATGTAATGAGATATGGAGTGGTGGTTTATGTAATAAGATATGGAGTGGTGGTTTATGTTATGTAATGAGATATGGAGTGGTGGTTTATGTTATGTAATGAGATATGGAGTGGTGGTTTATGTAATGTAATGAGATATGGAGTGGTGGTTTATGTAATAAGATATGGAGTGGTGGTTTATGTTATGTAATGAGATATGGAGTGGTGGTTTATGTAATGTAATGAGATATGGAGTGGTGGTTTATGTTATGTAATGAGATATGGAGTGGTGGTTTATGTAATGTAATGAGATATGGAGTGGTGGTTTATGTAATAAGATATGGAGTGGTGGTTTATGTTATGTAATGAGATATGGAGTGGTGGTTTATGTAATGTAATGAGATATGGAGTGGTGGTTTATGTTATGTAATAAGATATGGAGTGGTGGTTTATGTTATGTAATAAGATATGGAGTGGTGGTTTTTAGATAATGAAGGAGAAACACAGTAAAATATCCTGTGACTTATTTTATTTTCTATGACTTCACAGTAGTAATAACTACACAAATGTATAAAAATAACACACAACATATAGGTTATATCACAGCTTCAGCTTTTTAGCACAAGGACTTGGTATTTTCATTCATTTTTAGCTGCATTTATATCTGTTCCTAACTTGAGGTGTTCACAGAAACTAAGACTTATCAGGTCCTGTATGTTTAATACATGACATGGAGGTGACGTTACGAATACCAAGAGTATAGTATTACAATGCTTTCTTATAACCTCAAGTGAAAATCGTAACTCTTTTGTCTACAGAACTCCAGAACTAGTATACAAGGAAATGAAACGATTTGGAAATTGAATGAAACGAAAGATAATATACTTTTACTTATCTATCTATTTATAAATTTATTTTCTTTAGTTTCTTTTCGATCCTTTCGCTTCATATTTTGTATCAACACGTTAAACAATGATATAGATTGGGTTTGCCTGCCGTAGTTTTTCTACGCTCCGACAGACTTCGCTTCGCAAATTCATCGAGCACACTAGTGTAGCGGACAACAGTTGTAGCTAAGACAGGTGATCCGGTCTAAACAAAGATATGACTAGCATTGAAACAATTATGATGGCATGGACCGAAAGTTTTATCGTATCCTAACAGTATAACATTTCAGTAAGGTTGAATATCGATCGGTGATTTTCTAGCACGTTGATAGATTTAGTGACTAACACACGGAGATGTTCATACAAAATAAAGTCTATTGAAGTGTCTTGTAACGTGCTGCCTCACGTCACATGTCATCTTTATCCACCATTAGAAATGTCATGTCGGGTTCCGGTTCCGGTACATGTGCCACGCGAACACGTGACATTCGGGTGGGTTTCTGGGAAAGAAAGAGAACAAATGTACTTTCAGAAGCGAAGTTACAAAACAATTATTTCCTTGTCATTTACACGAGAAGTTGGATTGGAGAAGTATCCTATCAGTACAGTTTCAATTATTGTCCGGCGGAAACGGAAGCTCATTATTATCTATTTTTAGTTTTGTATCATTGATTATGTTAATAATCCACGTGTTTCCACGTGAAAAAGATGCTTTAATAAATACAGCTGGGACATAACTTTATCGCCGGTACGGAACTGCACGTGTGATTCAAACACCCTGTATGATGTATTATCAGTATTATACCCGGCCCTTAATAAAATCTTTCAAGATACATCTATGTTCTTCTTTATTGTTTACAAAAATGGCAAAATGCATAATTTATGTAAACTATTGTCAAAAAATATGTATGAATTACATTAAAATTTACAATACTATGGACGTAATGATATATGAAAAACACACCCGCTTGTATCGTTTGTTAACCTGTCGATCACTTTTCCACGTGCTTCCTAGTAGTTTCAGTGCCTTTTCCTGTACAACACAACATAGAAATCACTGACTGGAGAAAGTTTTAAACATTCATTACATAAACTATTTAACAAACAATTAAACTCCTTATTTTGTCCCCAAAAGTTTAGAAATCAGTGAAGTGTATCGATATATTTTTTTCTTATAATTTCACAAAAGGAAAAACTGCAGTTCATATCTGGTTTAAATTTTATAACTTTATCAAAAACAGATTACTATTTCTGAAACTGTGTGTAATTTACATCCGGGCATGCATACAAGTACAATTTCGTTGGCTTGAAATTTAAAATTCGCCCGTTTTAAATCCGCCGTGAAAATTTCAAAAATAGTAGTAGGGACTCCGACAATAAAATGATTTAGAATGTAACTGGAGTAATTGGAACTATACAAGTAGTGGAAAGAGTCCTACACCGTAAACTTTGCCCCTAAAATTCTTACTATGTTCTCGGGTCCCTGTGGAAAGAGTCCTACACCGTAAACTTTGCCCCTAAAATTCTTACTATGTTCTCGGGTCCCTGTGGAAAGATCCCGACACCTTGAACTTTGCCCCTAAAATTCTTACTATGTCCTCGGGTCCCTGTGGAAAGATCCCGACACCGTAAATTTTGCCCCTAAAATTCTTACTATGTTCTCGGGTCCCTGTGGAAAGATCCCGACACCGTGAACTTTGCCCCTAAAATTCTTACTATGTTCTCGGGTCCCTGTGGTTCGAGAGCTTTATAACACAGTTTTCAGTGAAGTAAATTTAATGCGTTAAATTATTGAAGTTACCTCATATTTTAGTTCCTTGGCTTTTAACTCATTACGGCGTAGCAAATACTGGAAAGAAAAACAGCGTATTTATAGATAGAATTCATCAGGTACATTTAAGGTTTGTTTCTATTTTTAACTCTTACTGGTGTCCCCAGCTTCAATATATATTTGTTTTATAGTAATTGTGATTTTAATCTATTTTAAGATAATTAAAACATCGTTGTTTTTAAAAATTCGTACATACTTTGATCTGCATTGTTTTCTATGAATGTAGCCAAAAATTGTAAAAAAGCGAAAAACTTCATTCAAAACGAATACTATTTCTGGTACATGAACAGATCTGTATTTTTGCCCGGAACAATGAAAGAAAAAACTAATTAAATATCAAGTCAAAAGAATCTTAATTCAAACTCAAATTCAATAAAACTTAAGCAAGATATAAACGACAGAAAAAATTAAAGGACTGGGGAGCTCGTGAAAAAAGTACTAGGAGAATAAGACCAGGTGCTCGGAAAGGGTAAGCGTCTTCTGCATCGTCGACGACACCCACCATGTAAATAATATAACGTTCTCAAATGTAACAACTGAAAGTCAGTTAATTTTACCTGTACGATAAGAATGACTCCGTAAAAGATGTGGAACAGTAGGAATATGATCAGGAAAGACATGAACGCCCAGAAATCCATCACGGCTCCAAGTGTGGCGTTATAAGTAAATCTCGAGATGACCGCGTGCCATATACATACAATGTAGGTAAATAATAGCCCGAACAACACGTATCTGTCCTGCAAATAAAACAACAACTAGTTACGTCACTGTTTATGGAGGATGTCATGCCAAGAGTGATTTTTTTAGTCTACTTGAATATATCTTTAAAAATTTTGAAATGGGTGTTTTCGCCAATGTCAATACATACAGTATAAAGTATGTTCATGTCACAGTAATGTATAATGTATATATGGAAATAAAATAATCGAGCACACTGACGGGGCGTTATTCACTGACAAAGTGATAGTAATGCGACGTTATATATAACATCAGGATGTACGCATAACGATGTCAATGACATGTTACAAGATAGAACAATCACACGTTGTATTTGCGCAGAGTAGAAAGTGACATATAGACGAAATACGTAGGCGTTTTATGTGTTGTACGTAACAGATGTGAACATTGGAGCGTAACACATAGATTTTATTCAGTTGTGGATAATGTTTGTTTGTGCAGTACTCTTCACGTGTTGATTTTGTATGAACCACGTGACGTGCATGTGTAATAATCACAATGTGTGACGTACACTGTATGTTAGATGAATATGCGCTGTACGTTAGTTTTCTGTGTGCAAAAACAGCATTTGTATATGCGAAGTTCGTAACCAGATTGTGTGAAGTACGTTAAATTTTGGAAGAATCTGTGCAGTACTAGAATATGTGTGTGTTCTACGTAGCATGTATTTGTGATGTTCGTAACCTGGTTGTGTTGTGTACGTAGGATATACAGTATTTGCTTACCAGGTGTGTGTAGTAGGAAATCTTAGGAATGTTGGCACTCGCTACCGACTTGAACGTCACACTGGTCAACATAAGGGTGATGGACAGTTGGAGGCGATTCTGGGGCAGCGATCGATCCACAGCAAACGTCGCCAAGGACATAGAGCTGATTAAGGTCTGTTTGAGGTGAAAAAAAAGTGGAAAGACACATTGTACAATTTCTTAAGGTGATGAAGGAATGATACTTTTATTTGTGGTCAAGAATTCAACATTGTTAAATCATAATGTCGTTTGTGTCAAGATAGAATAATGACGTCTTTTTTATGTATTATATATTCTAAATTTTAGCTGTTGTATTAAATGTTGTTTCACTCTGACCAAGTAGAAATATCACACTTCAGTCCTTACCTACCATGATGAGAATGACATTCCAGACGAAGAAACCGGCCCGCCTTACAGCACAACAACCTACCACGAGCCAAGGGAACTGGATGTGCTTCTTGGTAGAAAACTCTCTTGTCGACACCTAGAGAACGACACCGAGGACATCACAAGAATGAACCACCAGAGGAGTGAAGTCGCCATTATTTTCATTTATTTGTCCAATTGATTGTTTTTTTCTGTCGACATTTATCTTTTATGACGTGAATACTAGAGTTCCTTTCTCCAGTCATTGAGCGTGAGCCTGGTCGTTTACTGGGCGATAAACAGCGGAAGTGTGTCACTTTATGAATTAAATAGCAACGAAAAGATGAAGACTCTGATAATCTATTTTACTGTTTGTGGCTATTTGGTGTATGAAACAGGAAGCGCATGTGGATGAACCCACCAAATGATTAAAACGATAATTCAACTAGACTAGCTTGGCCAAGAGAATTGAAATGACAACAAACATAAAAAAAAATGCTTGGGACTATATCCGAGTATGTCACCGTTGGATGGCCTGAAAGGTTTGGTAGAGTGAATCAGAAACAAGCTATCTCCAGGACATTTCCAACTTAATCCAGTACTTCTCTTTTTAAGTACTTCCTTACCTTTCTTCCCCTACATTTCCCCTACATCTGACTATAATCCACCTCTAAGTAACTCCCAATTAAACAACATCGTTTAATCTATTCTAGAATATTCTGACTGAACCGTCGCTTATTTCACATGCCTCCGTATTGTTTCGTTTTTTCTCGCGATTCAGTCCTTCAAACCATCCTGATCAAACATCATTTCGCTTCTCTCCTAGTCAGCCATCCAAACAACTTAACCCTCATTAAAAAAAAAACCCTAGTAAACCTTGATGTACCCCCGTCTCCTTAGTTAAAACCCTTACTTACCTCTTGGACAGCCTCTACGTAGTCATAAAGTAACCACTCTTGTTCGTCCACAAAACACGTGACATTGATGGCGCTAATTTCCTTGTCGTCTTCCTTGATCGTCACCTTGCTCTCTGGTAACTCTGAGGTGATTTGGAGGCTCAAACTCTGGGATCAGAACGAGGCTGTTTGTGAGTTGGTTCAGAAAGAGGCAGTAAGTGAGGGGGTTCATAACGAGGTACTTAATGGTTGAGTTCAGAAAGAGGTAATAATTTATCGTGATTAAAACAAGTGAGTTGGTTCATAAGAGGCAACTCGTGAGAAGGACGTGTATTTCATTGTTGTTGGTTACGATAGAACGGATTATCTCCCTTATTAATTATATTTGTTTCCATATATTAAATTTATCATTGCGTGTTAGAGAAAAAATAATGAACGGAGTTTTGTCTTATTAATTGTAAATCATGCATAAAATTCTTATTGCAACTGAAAATACAAACTTAATACGTAAGTGTCCCGAAATCATTGGTCACACAGGACCAATATAATTACGTTACATATAACACGAAACAAAACAAACACCACTCTGATTTTACCTGGTAATCAAACGGGAAATCCATGAGTTCTAGTTTCTCGGAGAAATGACCCTTGATACGTCGTTTCTCCACGACGTAAGCTAACCCTTCCTTATCATGGACCAGTTCTTTCCACGTGCGGTCTTTAGTGGAGTCTAAGACATTGTGTACCAGGAGACGTGGACTCCAGAACTCGGAGAGGTCTTTATCCGACACCTGACACAGGAGAGATCATCTTGTTAGATTTAAAGTTCTGTTTTCCAAACGAAAATATCATGTATGATACATTAAGCACACAGGTAAATATTTCATTCAATGACCACAAGCTGGTGGAGAACATAACACTATTATCAACATTCTAAAGAAAAGATATTATTGTCAGTGGAACACATACACAATTGATAAGATATTTTAGACACATTTCTAGACATACAGATTTAATGGGACGGAGTGTGTCATACCTCTTCCTATCACTCCGTCAGTTGCGCAGGTTTGAAATTATTGATACATAAAACTCGACATATATATTTTTTGTTAATCAATGAGATGATTTATTTAACAATGCATACTTGTGTAAAAGTTTAAAGAAAAAGTTTTAAAGGCTTGCATTAAGTATATATTTACGAATTAAATTCTAGATGTTGCCTCTCCTGTGAGTTATCTTCTATACACGCTTCACATTTAACATCAGATCCATCCTGCCAACAAACCATGCTGACAGAACAGAAACGTTATTTATATAATTCTATTTATTTATTTATTCCTTTCCTATTGTCATCTTTTCCCGAAATCATTCTCTGTAATAGGTAAAGAAGTCAGAAATCGAATGATTTTCTTATTACTATGTCCGTCCTACCGTCCTGTTGTCCAGTTGTATTTCCCGCCATCTTGCCTGTATGAAAACATCCGCCACAAAGTTCTCCTTAATTGTGTCTATCTCGCCTACCTTCAGGAAAACCACCTTGACGTACACATGTTTCTGTGGAGACAAATCAATACCTGTATATACACAGAGTTATGTCCCTTTGAAGCCTCTCGGTTACTGTATAAAGGATGTATTTGTGTCCCCGCCATTTCAGGGTTGGGGACACGTAATGTTACCATTGTCTGTCACTTTATCATCACCCTATACATCAGATAGAGATATACTACTGAATTTTATGTAGTTGCATACATCATGATAGGTAGGTCAAACTCTGATTATTTTCCATGGTTGTATCCATTTAACCTAAGAATTCTAAATAAGATTAACAAATAAAATGTAAGACCAAACTTTGACAGTTATGGCGAACTCCAGTGGGAAATACCAAACACTTCATAAAAGAGCCAGTAACACTATGAAATTCTAAACATTTCATCTGTCTTCGTTGGAGGCATTCGTGTCCCTCGGACAAATCTAGTTTTCGAGGGTTTAAATTTCGACGATTTCACCAAAGGTTAGCTTAGATGATGCATTGTTCTCGTAACTAAACGAATTATGGATAATATAATTTAATATAAGGTTTTTTCAGGACTCTAATTTATCCTTGAATTCAAATACAGAACTGCAAGAAAATATGATCACGAGGCTGACCTATTATAAACTCTGAAACTAAGAGGAATTTCGCCTGGAAGAAAATAGATAATTGGACTTTTTGAAAAACGTGCAGTGCTCCCAACACGGTAACTTGCAGACACGGACGTCTGGGTTTTGTTGATGACTTTTATACCCCTGAATCGAAACATCGGGGAAATATTGTTTTTGTGCTGTCTTTTTGTTTATTTTCAACTTTAACCCACATATATTGCACCGTAGGAGGCAGGGCTTGCTTTTACTGGTACTTGTGTTCCTTGTGGTAAGACAACGCCGATGGTGCCAATTTTTTTTACCATTTGACCTTGACCTTTGACCTACATTAGAAAAAACTTAAACATTGGCCTTTACTATTGCACAAGGCAGGCATACGTGTTTCACAAAGTGTACATGCAGATAGCACATGCCTTACATAATACGGTTTTAATGCTCCACTTCAAAGTTTTGTTACAATCGGAGGCATAGTGTTCTATAAACACATCTTGTTCTGATATTTATATTGCAAACCAATTAAACACTTAATGTCAAGATCTGGATAAGTTCACATCAACAAATAAATTCATTCATTCGAGTTATACAAGAGCTAAAATATGTAAATCGTTTGAATTTAGTCCGTGTATCAGGATACTGACCATCTTAACAAGCTTGTTTGGTGGTGAACACCGAACGTGGGTAGAACCAGGTAAGAACTGGTGATAAATAATTAATATACACAGGTATATATATATATATAAAGGAAGGGTCAATACAGTTCCTAATTATGTGTAGAAGTACATATTATCACTGACCTCTTACACGCGTAGGTAATGACCGAAGTTTAAGGTTATGCCACATGTACAGTAACAAATAAGGCCAAGGGTTTTGATAAATTCTGTGATTCATGAAAGTCTACATACACTAAAGATGGGGCTGTCATTCAGCGGAATATTGTCTAAACCATCTGAACTGGTTCGTAAATAAAAATAAAAACAATAAAAAATAGGTCACATTTGCAACAGACGTTCTCAGCTCCCCGTGAGTTAGACAGTCCAAAATATATCACGAATGTGGTTTTTTTTAATCTAAGCTCACCATGATGAATGATCCATTTTCTGTCGTGTTTATTTTTCATGTCACTATGTACGTGTGAAAGGAATAAGTCCAGTGCGCATGCTTGGAACAAATGACATACATACACACTGTGTATGTTATGGTTGATTACGATTACCATTACGATGTTAAATCATTGTCAAAATTGATTTGTATACTCAAAAGAAACAAAACTAATATATCACTTTACAATATATATATATATCATTGATTTGATTAAAGAGTGACACAACAGCGTTGAGACCCATGTTTCGTGTCTTACAGATTTTGGTTTCATATTCGGAAAGTGATGTTATGGATCTTTATTCCGAAATACTATCCAAGTCTTACATTCCAATTTCTTAATCCAGAAGAGTGTATTTCGGATTACCAGATAACTGTTACCACATTCCAGGCTGTTTGTTTATTACCTTTGTGTTTTTGACTGGCGGTAGTCTACCGTCCATGTCATATGTTGACGTAAGCCTCGTTTTAATCCGATAATCCGACTGCCGTTAATCCATCAGATAATGTGGTCCAGCATTGGTCCTGTAAGATAGGATAATTCTGTACAATACTCCGGGAATGTGTGTGGACAGTAACCCTACCATGCAACTATCATCATGTGTTCAGAAGGATAGATTCTAACACAAACATTCTTATATACATACGTAAATTTTTGTAGGTAGATTTTGTACTGATTAACCATGACCCAATATTTTGTTTATAACGAGTTCGTGTGTTATGTACAGGTAAGGTGTAATGAATAGCGATTCAAGTCGATGATTGATTAATTTAAATCCGGAGGTCTATAAGAGAAATTAACTTCGGGGTGTTAATAACACGTGTTTGATCTTGATTGACAATAAAATAGTTACCTACACAGTCAATTCTATAGTTGTTGATATATTAAACATAACCGGACGTAAATATAAGGGTTTACCTATGCCCAGTTACATTGACAACAGTGCATTGTTTACCATCTGATGCCATTTTTTATCTGTAATCTGTTTACCATCTCGTCTCACTATTTTAGACCATAGTGTACATAGGATTACAGTACAGCCGAAAAAGTTGGTCGGTTCAATACCATCTCTACCCTACGTACGTCAGTGCTAGTACGCTCCACACTGGTCATTTATCCGATGAAGGGCATAAACGTCACAATGTAATATTCTACCGGTTGTGTTATAAGATGAGAATGACTGTGTTATCATAGAAATATCACAATGTAATCTTCTGATATAAAATCTATTCTACAACTCGGTTGTAATATAACAAGGACACTGCTTTGGAATGAGCGCGATATGATCAATTAAAGATAACTGTTATTAGAATATCGATTTACAAAAACCAAGTTTATGTACTTTATAGATCTAGAGACACCTGTCGATACGTCAATATTTGTCATTAGGATGCCACGTTGAATCAGGAAAGACACACTTGGTAATGCTCACGAAATCGCGGTTAAAGATCCGCGGTTGTTTGGCTCGACACATCCTACTCGTGGCGTTTTGTTTCTAATTAAGCTGAGAAATGTACAAGTCTGTGATAAAGTGGTTGTGTCTTTGTGTAAGCACTTTAACCTAAAAACTATTGATAACACTATAATGCGACGGACTTTCCGTGTGTTGTTCAGTGAAGAAGCCACCATGTTCTTCAAGGAGACCCTACCTCAATATGACCCTTGCTGTTCACGGGAAATTAATCCAGGAAACGGTTTGTAATACTCACAGGGGTAGGGATGATAGCTCTTAATACGGGCTTGCCTAAGTTCAACTTTTCGCCGTTCTGTATCATAGTATAAGTGTGTTCCAAATCGTATTAATACGTGTTTTAGTATCTTTATATCGGAAATGAAATCTCGTGACGATTCATGGAGTTTATTCAAGGCTGTTAAAATCTATTTTCCAGAAAATTTCCGACATCACAAGTTTCAAATCGTTAACAAAGTAGTATGTTTGTTTGAATTTTGTGAAACACTTTAGCATGTTTTTTTCTTTTAACATGGTCAGATTATTTTTTTTATCTTATCAATAAGTCAGAAGTTCACAGTCCGTGCTGCGAAAAATCCCAGCGCACCAGCTACCCGCTGTTAACCATAAATGCAGTTTTCTGGCTTTAGTTGTGTTTTATTTCTAACCATTTCCGATATCCGCACACAATACTATAAAGAGCTTGCTGAAATATATCACTGTTTACTGAATTCTGACATCGACCAATACACCAGTATGTTACCTTTTTTAGAAATGTAATCGTTTAGCTTTTAAAATAAGTCTCCCTACCACGAAAACAAAAGTATAAAAATCTAGACAGTGAAATAAGTTACCTGGTCCCTGTGGCCCAGCTTTACCAACACTCGGCAGTATAATGGACAGGTCTGGGTAGACATAATTCAATCAGTCAACAGTTTGTTAGCATAGCATTGTTAAATGTTTACAAACATTGTATATCCTTATGTCACGGACAGTCATCACACAGCCTGGTCCTAAAGGTCTACGTCTGATTTGATCATCTACATTTTGCCTTTAACAGTGAAATATCTTAAATTAGTTTTTATTTCAAACGACATTTTATAAATCTCATCTTGAAGTTTTAATTTTTTGTTCGGCAAAGCTCAAAAAAAATTAAGGTTCAAAACTTGTTTCATAAATGTCATGTGATGAAAACTCACTGAAGATACATGTTAAAAATTGCGATATGCAAGCATATATATATATATATATAGAAAAAAACTTGATTTGACGAGATGCGAGTAAATTATAAATAAAAATGAAAGCGCTAGTGCAAAATGTAACGCCTTTCTTCTTTTGTCAAAAATCATTTATATATTATATATATACATATACCTATCTTTATTTTACTTTGTGTCACAACTATTGTCCTCTTCGCTCATCAGAATTCAAAATGACCCTGGCCATTGTTGTTAGAACTTTTTACATTAAATTGTTCCGGCTGCTCAGAAATCAGATTAGGGTATTCTGCTGTGAAAACCTTATTACTTTTATCTTCTGTATAAGTTTTTGTCATCACACTTACCTATGTGATGTTCTTACTTCGTCTATTTCCCATCAAATCACCGGCCATCACCTCAACACTGTTGGTCTAAATCAGAAATTGACCAGGTCCAAATGATATCCCACCGTTAAAATCACAGTAGAATTCTTCCTCGAAAAGTCGTTTTCATACCGAATACAGACCCTACAATGTTGGTTGTTAAAAAACGATGTAGTATGAATTGAATTACCTGTGTTTTGTTGTTACCTGTATATCACCTGACCATACCTGTACACAACAAGGTAAGTGCTATAGGTAAGTTTCCCGCGGCCATAAGCTGCTCGCCATAGAAAAATCAATGGATTTCTCAATCAATCAACTTTATCCTGAAATTCAGTCGTTTACAAATCGTATATAAAACCAGCTCTATAAACAGGTATTGAAGTGCGTGCACCATTTGTTTGTAGATAGCAGTTTCTGGAGAGATGAATTGAATATAGATAACGGTATGTTTGAATGCTATATTGATTTCACGAAACTACACTTTCAACATTCTAGATGTGTTCAGGATATATTCTAAAACGTACATTCTTATATACGTACTTCAATTTTCTGTAGGTAGAATTTGTACTGATTAACCATGACCCAATATTTTGTTTATAACGAGTTCGTGCGTTATGTACAGGTAAGGTGTAATGAATAGCGATTCAATTCGATGGTTGATTAATTTTAATCCGGAGGTCTATAAGAGAACTTAACTTCAGAGTATTAATTACACGTGTTTGAAAGCTGGTCTTGATTAACATAACGGGACTGTTCTGGTTTACAATATACAGTGTAACGAGTTACGTTAGTCTTAATCTGAGTGGTGGACTCAAAATATCAAATGTCTGATTTATAAAGCCTCACTATATCAGAGAGGCATTACAACACATTTAATTATCTCGTGATAAAGAAGACATATTTAATTATCTCGTGATAAAGAAGACAGATTTAAATATCTCGTGATAAAGAAGACACATTTAATTATCTCGTGATAAAGAAGACATATTTAATTATCTCGTGATAAAGAAGACAGATTTAATTATCTCGTGATCAAGAAGACATTTAATTATCTCGTGATAAAGACGACAGATTTAATTATCTCGTGATAAAGACGACAGATTTAATTATCTCGTGATCAAGAAGACAGATTTAATTATCTCGTGATAAAGCAGACAGATTTAAATATCTCGTGATAAAGAAGACAGATTTAGATATCTCGTGATAAAGAAGACAGATTTAATTATCTCGTGATCAAGAAGACATTTAATTATCTCGTGATAAAGAAGACAGATTTAATTATCTCGTGATCAAGAAGACAGATTTAATTATCTCGTGATAAAGAAGACAGATTTAAATATCTCGTGATAAAGAAGACAGATTTAATTATCTCGTGATAAAGAAGACATTTAATTATCTCGTGATAAAGAAGACAGATTTAATTATCTCGTGATAAAGAAGACATATTTAATTATCTCGTGATAAAGATGACAGATTTAAATATCTCGTGATAAAGAAGACAGATTTAATTATCTCGTTTCAAAGTAAAAATAAATAATCAAACATGCTATTCGAAACTTTTCCAACTTACTTTTTATACTAAGTTTACTTTAGGGAGTCGCATTTGTTCTACATTAAGGTAAACCTATATGTTTGTTACCATTGGAATACAACAGGTCCTTGTTACTGACATCCAATGTTACAAAACAACCCAGTATTGTAACACCGTGAAGAGTATTTGAGGAATATAGAACGGAATGGTAAGGAAATCAACCCGTTTTATAATCCCATGTATATTACGCCAGCAAGCCGTGTGACGAGGTGGCGAAAACGTCATTATAGAACAGGCCATATTGGTGATATTCCATACACTATGTTTAAGAAACGCGGCATTCAAACAAGGATGGCATTTGCTCCAACATAATGGCGTAGATTTTGCTCCGTAATGACGTCATTTGTTGGGCTATGATGTCAAAATATGTTTCCAAATGGATAAGAGATATGATTTCTCTGTGCGTAATTAATAAAGAACAGATCTTTAAAAGTTCATTTTGACGCACCTGCATCGGCCCGCTGGCATCCGATGTGGTACTACATAACGTAAGTCGGTAATGTCGATACTGTGTCTATATACTCTTACACATTAAGTACAAAGAAAATGTACGCTGTGTTTAGTCCAATGTAACATTTTTATCGGTGATACTTGGTAGAAAACCGTTACAATTATAGTATGGTTAGATACTGGCTTCGTTTCAATACTGGAGTGGTACTTATTTTCAAAGGGTTCTTTCTCTCACTATTTTCGATGATAGAATTAATAGGCACATCAAAGACGAATATAAAAACTAAGATTAATACAAAGTAAACATCATTAGTTTCCAGAATTCCACGAAAAAGATTAATTTTTCATGAACTCGTGATTTTTTTATCGCTTAGGAATTCTCTCTCGACAAATATTGATGCTGGTTGTGGAGTTGTAGAACTTTGGTTGGTTTAAACAATATTTTATTAATTATTCAGTTATACAAACAGGCACACAATTGTCACAGCGAGGAGTCATAAAATGACAACAATGTTTGATTGAATTACATATTCAGAATAAACATTTATTCTAAGTCAGTGTTCGAACTGATATTTCTCATGAAGTTGTCCTTTTCTTCAGTTTCCCGACGGTCTTGCTCATGGATCTCCTTCATTTAGATGTAGTTTTAATCAACTACACATTTCAGTTCGTGTCTTTCCAAACCTCATTATTTCAATAACTGTCGTTAATATAACATATTACAATACACGGTTTACAACACAGTCATCTGGTTCAAATCAGAGAGTTATACATGCTTATTCTAAATATAGATCTCTGTTCTAACACACAAATTTAAGATGTTACGGAGAATGAAATGACGTCATCAGTTTTGTGGTAGTTTTCGGGTTACAGGTTTTTCACTTTCAGTCTTGTGTGGCAATCTTCCATATAATGTTGGTGTTTCGCAATGCATCATGAGAGATATTGTGAGATCTTCCGATTTTAAAATGGGATTGGTACGATAGTAGCGGGTTTGTTAGCTCTCACTCGTCGGTTACTTGACCATTCGTGTCCCAGGATATGGACAGCCTTTACCTGGAAAATAAAAACACGAACATTATAAACATGCAAGTGACGATCTCAGTGATACGTTGTAATCAGACAACAGTCTAGATCACATAGACAACAACAACGTCACGATTTGTTTTTTATATTGTGTTTTCTATAGATACAAAACAACCTGTTTCTGTTATATCATAGTTATCATTATAAATAAACGACGTGTACATTATGAATTTTGTATATTATACTATTAACCTATAATCAATTAGTAAAAACACGCATTCGTACTCTAAAAATGTACAAAAACGATATCAAAATCTATGAATGGCCACCATGACAGATCTTGCTTGTTATCTCGTATCCAGATTCTGCATATACTGTATCAAACTAAAAACTTTCAACCACTGTTTAATTGTGTTTCTTCACAAAAATAAAACATTTTCTATTGTCAGGTAGATAGAAAGAGACAGTTGTTCTTATCAGTAAAAGAATGAGGTCAATTGTACTAAACTGTCTGATAAACGAACGCGTCCGTACAGGATAAAGGAAGGCTATATATAGAACTATATTGCAGTATCGGAATTTCTTGTCTAAAAAACCATACTTGTAGATATATTCAGACCCAGACATATATCTTACATAACGTCAAAACTGATACATTTTTATCCTCGACCTCATCGTGTACATACACAGTAGGACATTATAACTACATCAGGGTTACATACATACATACTACGTACATGATTATCATTCATTAAAACTTAATAATCTCGTGTAGAGGTCTCGTCTAGTGAGGATTTCCCTATAGTCGAGCATAGTGTGTCCGGCTAGAGGGTCATATTTGGTGCCAATGACCACTCCAGGTTTAGAGGTCTCGTCTAATGAGGATTTCCCTATAGTCGAGCGTAGTGTGTCCGGTTAGAGAGTCAGATTTGGTGCCAATGACCAATCCAGGTTTAGAGGTCTCGTCTAATGAGGATTTCCCTATAGTCGAGCATAGTGTGTCCGGCTAGAGGGTCATATTTGGTGCCAATGACCACTCCAGGTTTAGAGGTCTCGTCTAATGAGGATTTCCCTATAGTCGAGCATAGTGTGTCCGGTTAGAGGGTCAGATTTAGTGCCGTTAACCACTCCATGTATAGAAGCTACAAGATGTTGAGATGTTTTCCAAGATGTTGTTGCAATTGGGGTCGAAGACTTGGTGAACGAGGGAGTCTTGTAATAGCCTGGGATAGTGGCAATTTCCTTTCAATGATGTTGGGGGGGTCATTAGTTCGAACCCCAGGTGGAACGGAGTAGTTATCGTTACGTTTTTATTGATAGTCTATCAAATGAGGTTCCATCTGTTAGAGTAGTACAGAAATCACTCCAACTCCACAGCAGTTCGATGTTTGTTCTCAGTTGAAATAAAATTAACTTAGATGTCTTATCCTAATATTTCTTCGCTGTCATTACCATGGCTTGTCAGTATTATTGTCGAGAAAAGATGACTCCATGTCTTCAATCTGGAAAACTTTATAAACTCTAAAACCACAAAAGCCTTTGCTTGATAATTCAAAGGGAAGTAACTCTCGTTACCACCCCCGATGTTTGATATACATGTATAGTGTTAATTTCGTTCCTATTCTGTTATAATATTTATCCAATGTTTCATGACGACTGGACAACACAACATATAATACCTTGTAAGTAATTTGTGATTTAAAATCTTAGATAAATTCATGGTGCCGCCTTAGAGACTACCGCTCTGATAGAAATTACCCACAGTATAAATTTCGTGTTAACTTACTTACGTGTAAATCTCGTGTGTACTTCCTATAAATCTCGTGTTAAGTAACTTACGTGTAAATCTGGTGTGTAATTACGAGTAAATCTCGTGTTAACTTACGTGTAAATGTCGTGTGTAATTACGTGTAAATCTCGTGTGTACTCAGTATAAATCTCGTGTTAACTTACGTGTAAATGTCGTGTGTAATTACGTGTAAATCTCGTGTGTACTCAGTATAAATCTCGTGTTAACTTACGTGTAAATCTCGTGTGTAATTACGTGTAAATCTCGTGTGTAATTACGTGTAAATCTCGTGTGTACTCAGTGTAAATCTCGTGTTAACTTACGTGTAAATCTGGTATGTAATTACGTGTAAATCTCGTGTGTACTCAGTATAAATCTCGTGTTAAATTACGTGTAAATCTGGTGTGTAATTACGTGTAAATCTGGTGTGTAATTACGTGTAAATCTCGTGTGTACTCAGTGTAAATCTCGTGTGTACTCAGTATAAATCTCGTGTTAACTTACGTGTAAATCTGGTGTGTAATTACGTGTAAATCTCGTGTGTACTCAGTATAAATCTGGTGTTAACTTACTTGATATGCTGTCACATTCTTTTGGATCTTCCGTTTGGTGATCAAATACTGAAAATCAACAGAAGTAGAAATTACAAATTTTCAAAAACCGCTGATGAGCATCCCGAACTCCGTGTATATCTGATACGTTGGCATTTAACAATCTTTCACCGGTACAGATAATAAGATTTTAGACCTTTTAAGCAGGAGCATTCTTTTTACTTCTATCGATTATCAAGAGATTCGGCGCAATGTTGAATTGATGTGCTTAAAAAATCCATAAAAGCTTAAATTTTGCTACATGTTTATTACAAAATGAACAACATACCTAACTTAATATCGCAATGTATGTTGAGTGAAGTTAATTCTCCTCACAACTAGTTCCTTATCGTTGTTGTAATATTTACACGTCCACAAAATGATAGACAGATGAAATATTGACATTAAAGACAGTAATTGTGGATTTTATGAACAAGATTAATCCGCGAAATCAAGCGCCAACGAAAATGTCAATTTTGGGAAACCGTGAAATTTGTGCACCACGAAACTGTTTTACATTAAGAAATTTTGTGGATACAATGATTCTAAAAATAACTAAAAATAATTGTGTTTAATTGATGAAAACAAATAAAGGAAATACATTAAAATAGTATATATTAATCTGGAAATCCCGCGGTCGTTACAAATTCTTGTCAGATTCAGTTACATTAGGAAAAAGAATTTCATCTGTAACTGATCAGAACATGCACCACATTCACACACTTTGGCCATGTCAGTGATCAATCTACACGCGAGTCCCGAGTCACAGAATTTTGATGTGACTCAAAGAATTTCTGGAAATATTTAAATTTTACTTATTGAGACCCATTGTTTTTAGCAATAAAGTTGAAAGGTGAAAATGATCACATGATAGTCAGTCTACTTCGGATTAAAAAGACCCAAATATTAAAAACCTTACCTTGATGAGGACGTTGAGAAGGAAGAGAACTTGAAACGATGAGTACAAGATAATAAAGAATATGAATGCCCAGAAGTCATGTCGGCCGTCCTCTGCAGTCTTGTCGTCGATAAGTGAAACGACGGCGTGCCATAGGCTTACAAGGAAGTTGAAAATCATACTGAATAGGATGTATTTGTCCTGAGGAGAGAAAACCACAACCATTTCCTGTAAAAACTTTTTTTTATATAAAACTGACGGAGAAGTTTTACGGTCGTCAAAATGATCGATTTCCTTTTAAGATATAAAGTTGGACGTGTTTGAGACTGTCGTTTATCTTGTTTTCATTTGCAAACGTGACACTGTGTACTTGGATTTACCAAGATTGACATGGCGGGTGTCGTCGATGAAGCAAAAAACGCCTACACTTCCTGAACACCTGGTCTTATTCTTGTTGTACTTCTTTAAAAAAAGTTTCCGTTTCAATCTTTCTTTTGTTAATATCTTTTTTTAGTTTTTATAAACTTGAGTTTGGGTTATGAAATTTTTACTTATTGTTATTCTATATACTGTAAATGTTGTTATTTTCGTGGGGGTCTATTTTTCATTTTTTTCGAGAATAGAATAAAACGTATATACTTTGAAAACAAGATTAACAGAGGAGGCCATAGACCGTGATCCTGACTCCCCTTATAAATTCATTATGTTTACCTGAAGTAAGAGAACCAGAGATAATCAGAAACATCGTGATAAACATAACGATACTTTCAATTGTTCTTCACTAATACATACACACAATGAAAATAAAGGTAAATGGTACAGGAAAAAACGTCAGCAAAAACAATGTATTGATGCTATTTAAATGAAGCAATGTTTGTATACAATCGAATCTTGTTATCTCGACATCTTATATCTCGAAGACCGTGGTCTATGTTTTTCATTAGTCATACTTAACATAAAACATTTTAACTTACATAAGTTGAATATTCGGATAACTCGAAGTTTCCCAACTATTCCACTGACTTCGATATAACGAGATTTGACGATAAATTAAAAATAACATTACATGAATGTTGATGTGACATGGAGTTTATTAATCGAGTTTAAAAAATCTTGATTTGTGACGTATCAAATAACTTAGTTAAAGGAATACCATATTGCACGAGTGTAAGATTCTATTTTTCATATAACTTATTTTTTCTGAAAAACAAGCGAAAACTTTCAGATTTATTTCGCTATCAGAGAGACATATTTCGACACGGGCGGTACGTTTTTCACTACCGAGACAATCATTTGACGTCATCAAGACGTGACGTCACAATTATGTTATAAGACTTTGGACTTACGATATTGATGACATGTCCGCATGACATGACACAACAGGCCAGTCATGTGATATACAGAAATCTAGGTTCTTCATTTCGGAGGGACGTTACGGCATAGTTTTAGATATAATGTACTTATGATGAAATAAAATATACTTTAATCTGTTTGTACATGTGTAACTATCAGAAAGTGTCATTTCTTCCCAGCAAATCAGCTGAACGATAAGGTCATAGGTCATGTGTGACGGGCAAACGGACAGGAAAACTTACCAGTTTTGTTAGGTAGGATATCTTAGGAAGACTCTGATTGGCTACAAATCTGAAAGTGACCCCGGTGAGTGTGAGAGTGAAGGCTAGCTGTAATCTGTTCTGTGGCAGGGTCCGGTTCACCGAGAACGTACCAAACGACAGCATACTGATGATAAACTGAAATAGATTAGTATGTAATATTACAAGATCTAAAGATTTCTAAAATAAAAAATTCAATATTCCAGAATCCAACATTTCAAGACATAAGTGCTCAACATTACAGAAATTCAAAATCTAACTGTTCGAAATTTTAATGTTTTAAAAGTTAAGTATTCAATATTTGAGCATTTAAAATTTAGGATGTAAATAATGAAAACGTCGAGAATGCAGATTTCAATTGGTACAATTTGTCAATGAAAATGTGTAAAATGAGGACTTGCTGGCAGACACAAAAAAAGGTGATCTCATATCACGGAGGAACGTGGAAATACTTTTTTTTCACATATAATTTAATTTACGTACTGTCTAGCCAAATCGTGGTTTAGATAAGACAGGTATTAGTTTACAAATCATGGCTTGTAAAACAGTGTAAAGAAAATCTTAGTAATATGATCTACTAGATACTTCATCATTGGTTTGTGTTTGACGTAGTAAAACTGCACTGTGAAACATCTTGAATATATATATGAGTCGCGACTGAAGAAACAAATACATCAAAGTTGTTAGAATATTTATCAAAATGCTATTGTCATATAATGTGTGTATAGACTGTAACTAAGTGACCCTACAGTGATTTTTCTCTCTCTGGAATTTAGCAGTAGTGTACTAGGTTATTATAGAAGCTGCATGACTTACTGTCTGGATTTTAGCAGTAGTGTACTAGGTTATTATAGAAGCTGCATGACTTACTGTCTGGATTTTAGCAGTGGTGTACTAGGTTATTATAGAAGCTGCATGACTTACTGTCTGGATTTTAGTGTACTAGGTTATTATAGAAGCTGCATGACTTACTGTCTGGATTTTAGCAGTGGTGTACTAGGTTATTATAGAAGCTGCATGACTTACTGTCTGGATTTTAGCAGTAGTGTACTAGGTTATTATACAAGCTGCATGACTTACTGTCTGGATTTTAGTGTACTAAGTTATTATAGAAGCTGCATGACTTACTGTCTGGATTTTAGCAGTAGTGTACTTGGTTATTATAGATGCTGCATGACTTACTGTCTGGATTTTAGCAGTAGTGTACCAGGTTATTATAGAAGCTGCATGACTTACTGTCTGGATTTTAGCAGTAGTGTACTAGGTTATTATAGAAGCTGCATGACTTACTCTCTGGATTTTAGCAGTAGTGTACTAGGTTATTATAGAAGCTGCATGACTTACTGTCTGGATTTTAGCAGTACTAGGTTATTATAGAAGCTGCCTGACTTACTGTCTGGATTTTAGCAGTAGTGTACTAGGTTATTATAGAAGCTGCATGATTTACTGTCTGGATTTTAGCAGTAGTGTACTAGGTTATTATAGAAGTTGCATGACTTACTGTCTGGATTTTAGCAATAGTGTACAAGGTTATTATAGAAGCTGCATGATTTACTGTCTGGATTTTAGCAGTAGTGTACTTGCTTATTATAGATGCTGCATGACTTACTGTCTGGATTTTAGCAGTAGTGTACTAGGTTATTATAGAAGCTGCATGACATACTGTCTGGATTTTAGTGTACTAGGTTATTACAGATGCTGCATGACTTACTGTCTGGATTTTAGCAGTAGTGTACTAGGTTATTATAGAAGTTGCATGACTTACTGTCTGGATTTTAGTGTACTAGGTTATTATAGAAGCTGCATGACTTACTGTCTGGATTTTAGCAGTAGTGTACTAGGTTATTATAGAAGCTGCATGACTTACTGTCTGGATTTTAGCAGTAGTGTACTAGGTTATTATAGAAGCTGCATGACTTACTGTCTGGATTTTAGCAGTAGTGTACTAGGTTATTATAGAAGTTGCATGACTTACTGTCTGGATTTTAGCAGTAGTGTACTAGGTTATTATAGAAGCTGCATGACTTACTGTCTGGATTTTAGCAGTAGTGTACTAGGTTATTATAGAAGCTGCATGACTTAGTGTCTGGATTTTAGCAGTAGTGTACTAGGTTATTATAGAAGCTACATGACTTACTGTCTGGATTTTAGCAGTAGTGTACTAGGTTATTATAGAAGCTGCATGACTTACTCTCTGGATTTTAGCAGTAGTGTACTAGGTTATTATAGAAGCTGCATGACTTACTGTCTGGATTTTAGCAGTAGTGTACTAGGTTATTATAGATGCTGCATGACTTACTGTCTGGATTTTAGCAGTAGTGTACTAGGTTATTATAGAAGCTGCATGACTTACTGTCTGGATTTTAGCAGTAGTGTACTAGGTTATTATAGAAGCTGCATGATTTACTGTACATTCTCAATGCATGACCAATGCACATCTAGGTTTCAATAATACCTCAATTATGCAAAACAGAGCTATGGTTCTTGTACACTGTATTTCTCTTATAGATCTCCCTAATGTGCAGTTTCACTTTGATCTTTCTTATAGTTTTTGTGGTATGTGACGGACGGACGGACAACCACACAGAAGGACGGGCAGACAGACAAAGCGGCGACTATAATATACTCTTCATTCGAGGAGTTGAAAAAGACACACGCTTATAGTATACAACACTAACCATAATGATGATGATGTTCCACACAAAGAACATGAATTGACGTGTAGCGATACAGCTGACACGCAGGACCGGAAACTCCACATTCTTACTCTGGGTAAACTCCTTCTTAATAACACTTATCCTACTGTCCACATAGTCATTTAACCACCATTCCTGTTCGTCTGCAAAACTCGACACATTTATCGATGACAGGTCCTGATTGTCCTCCTCAAACACCACTTCCTTGATAGATTTGTCTGACGTTATAACGACACTGAGATCCTGGGAATCAAACGGAAAATCTTCCAGTTCCATTTTCTCTGTAAATGTTCCCTTTATACGCCTTTTTTCCACTATGAATGCTTCTCCAGATTTACCAAACCTCAGCTCACTCCACTTGCTTCGCTTGGCGCTGTCATTTCGATTTTGTATCATAATGTTTGGATTCCAATAGTTTTCAAAGTCCACTTTAATATCCTACAATTATGAATACACAATTACTAAATTTTCAATTGAATTTCAACATGGTTTAATGCTAAAAATACTGAATTTTATAAAGATTTTTAAATGTTAGATCTTTGGTACATACACATAGACCTTGGGTCGGGAATCCATGTCATATTACTGTGCCCAAAGACAAATGTTGTAAAACACCTATATATCAACGTTAATGTCGCCGATCCTTGTTACTGGTTATCTATATATAATCCGTTAAAAGTCTACTTAATCAGACCTTGAACTTTAAACCGAAACGTCAACTTATAAAACGCATTATTTGCAACGTGCTAACCATTTCTGTGTCAGGGCCCTAAAGAAATGACAAGACGACAGTGATCTCGGACCCAACACGAGAGAAAATATTCAATCCTTCTCTTAAATGGCGCGAAGACAACAGGACAAAAACAAACTTACTTTGCTGCTGTCCAGACTTCGTTCACGCCATCTTGCCTGTATGAAGACATCAGCTGCGAACTGTTCCTTCACAGTGTCTATTTCACCGAGTTTGAGAAATACCACTTTTACATACACGGTCCGCTGCAACAGATTAAGAATTGGTCGCAATGTCAGAAAACATGAACATTCACCTAACGTTTCTTTAAAATTCTTTTTTTTTTCAACAATGAATATTTTTTGAAAAAAATACGTAAAATTTACAAAAACACAAAACTTTTAAAACGCACTTTTTCAGCTATGAAAAAAAAAATCAAATCGACAGAATATAGAGCTTGACCTTATACTACAACAGCGAGACAGGTTCGTGAAATATTCTGAAGCATGACTGTGATATATCTATAAATACCTCCATACAATGTTACTTACTGGAGGTTCTTCTGGGACTGGTCCGTTGACATCCGTGTGATCTTCTATTGCTGGCTTGTCCATTTCCGTGGGCGTGCCGTTTATCAGTCAATACTGAAAAAAATCGGTGGCTGTTGAACTATCATCACAAAATACAAAAACGTGTAACATTACTGAAATAGATCTTCTGTAACGTAATAAATGTTACTTCCAAATGCTTCTTTCTGTTGTTGTTTAGAAAAAAATAAATCGAGGAAATAATTAACGGTGACCTTGACAGAGAAACACATCGTCCGTTTTATGACTTAAGTTTGAGAAGCATATCATGTTTACTTCAGTTTGTTTTTGAAAAAAAAATAAAAACGTTGAACAGTCAAACAAAACCTCTTACAGGTAACTTGTTTCACGGAAAAGAATCCTGGAAAGTGTCTGTTATAGCACACGTCAGGAAAATATAGTGAGCGATTCCACAGTTAGCTTAACAATCGGCTAATACGTCTTAAGTCAACATTTTCGAGGAATTGTGTAATTCAGAAATAAGGAAGCGCATAGTTTTCTTATAATTCTTATAATTGTTCTGGGTTTGTTTGTTTTGTTTTTGTTTTTAGTGTGTGTATGTGGGGGGCGGGGGAGGGGGTGGAGAGGGGAGGGGAGGTTAGGCTGTTAATTTTTTTTCTTTTGTTTTTGTTTAATGTTGCATTTTTCTTAGAAAAAAAAGATGATGACAACCACTTTAAAATATAACTTGAACGGCGATTCAAATTTGAGAATTGTAGTATCTGTGTTTGTAGTCAGCAGTCTCTCAGTGTGATTCCATAAACACAGTGAAACGCTAAGTAAATAAATAGTAACAAGAGAAGATAACTCTCTGGTGATTTCCAATAGGTCAGATATAACGTTTTTGTGTTTCCTGTATGATTCATACACACTGGAATGAATTAAATATCATACTACACGTGAGACAGAAAAATCGGCTGATAATGTGTTTCTACCCTTTGTCTAAAGTTAGGACTCGCTATCCTCAAAACAGTCACATGCCTACTATTGGACGGACGTTCAACAGAACGCCAGCAGACGAACCAGAAAGACAACGATTTTACGTAATTATGACGCAAGTTGCACAATATATGATGTTTGTTCTGTAAATTGAAATGCACTCATTACAAAACCACATTGATATATTGAAATTCATCCTTTTGTCATAAATGTATTGTGACGTGATTAGTTACCGTATGTGGGTGTCTGTATTGTTTTATTGTTTGTGTAACTACAATCTATATGTCCTAGTGGCCATTAACACACCAGAGTAGTGAAATAATACTTATTTTTAATACAAATCGTTTATATCGTCAACATAACATATACATTTTTAAAAGTGCTTTCTATTTACCATTATTAAGTATGTACTTTGAACATCTGGTTCTACACACAAACAATCATACAAAGCTCACACACAAAACGGATCAGTGGTGGATACAGAAGGCCGGAAATGTAGGATCCAAAATCATGTTTATCTCTGTATTTACTTATTGGTACATGCATCCTTTCCAACCCTGAAAGATGAGAGACCCCTCCCTCACCTCTTCCCTTCCCCCCTCCCTACATCCACAATCATGGATCACCAAAGATCAAGAACTTACATCTTTCCCAGTTGTTTCCGTTTTTTAAAAGTCACAATTGAAATGTTGACATCAGTTAATTTTAAAAACTTCCATCTTATTTGAAGATTCCAATAACTGAGATAAAGGTTGAAGTAACGAAGTGACGTTACGTCGGCAATAAAAGTTTTACTTACAATTGAAACAAGTTTCAGTCAACTACAGACAATCTTTTCTTAAAGAGCCACTTGTCTGCAAAGTATGATTTTCGGTCCCTATGAAATGCAACTTATAGTAATTGAACCTCTGTATAAAGGTCAGTTGTCTATAAAATCGACATTTCTCTGCTCCTTTATAGTGGCCTTTATAGACAGGTTTTTCTACATATGATAATAGGAGAGAACGGATCGTGTGTTCACTCCCCTTCAGCCATACAATCCCACTAATACATGTACATGTATGTCCGTCTCACAACACATTATCGCCTATTTAATACCCGGACGTAAACTTCCGAATGTCTTTATTGTATCTACATTAGTTTTATAGCGAATGGAAATATCATTACTAGGCTGCTATGTCCAGAAAACCTGTTCACTCCTGGGGGTCGAATCAAGGCAGTATCAAAACGACGTGTTGTCACACTGTTGTACGTGTATTGTAAGAGGAGTCAGCTGGAGGGGTACAAAAGTCAAGTATAGCTATAACATTATTTACATCAAGTTTCCGAGTACTACTCCTGCCTCTGTTCGGAAGGGTCTATTCGAAGCTGCCTGAAAGGTATTCAAAATGTCAGGAATTATCAGTCTTATATAAGTCACTTTAGGCAAATAACTTAAGATCAATCACTTAAGACAAATCTCACAACGTTCAAGAAGAAAATCGAAACATAGGTAAGGGAATTAATCACGATCCAGTCCATACGTACCTTTCAAAATGTTTCTAGATGAGTCTTTATGTTACCAATCACTCCATTCCTGTTACTAGGCACCATTACATAGTCCTGGAACACTACACCCAATAGATTATTCTCTTCCTAACGGTATACTCAGGCATACAAAAATAGACAAAACACTGACTATAATCAGCGTTACAGTTCTTCTCTATACAGACGACATATTTAAAGGCATACACCATTGTATTCTAAAACGAGGTTATAAAAGGACTCGTGTATATATTCACGGTTAGTTTATATTAAATGTCCTAAACATCTAATAATTAGCCATATATTTGATTGGTTAATTCCTTGTTTAGAAAGTACATTTCGAAATATTACCCTGATATCCCATTCAGTACCCCAGTCTTGGCGCGTGTTCTTGTTAAAGCTTTTAGATGTATAATATCATAATACTCCAAAGTAAATCAATCAGACGTGACCGTCTGGACTCGCTGTATACAATGAAGTTATTTTACACCGCTACTGGTTTATGTGTAGTTGGTTTGTGTACGGTATAATGAACCGTGTATGCTGGCCATTCAACAACCATTGAACACACTTATGTACATGTATTCATAACATGTCAAAATTAAGTAGTCAGTAGTATGTTACCAACCTAGCGATTCGACTGCTGAAGCATATCGTTACGACCAGTTTACAAGCCGGGAAGTTTTTTCCTTATTGGGAAATAATGTCAAGTTTGTTTATTTTTTCAATTGTTCTTGGTTTCACCGAAAAGCTTGTAGAAAAAGTAGTGTATTTCTCATGGAAGGCATGAAATAGACTACAGGGATGAAATAGACTACAGGGATGAAATAGACTACAGGGATGAAATAGACTACAGGAATGAAATAGACTACAGGAATGAAATAGACTACAGGGATGAAATAGACTACAGGGATGAAATAGACTACAGGGATGAAATAGACTACATATTACTGTAAAAAAAAACACAAAATAATTATCAACATGTCAACATAATCTTAAACCAAACTCAAATGCGATAAAACTAGGGCAAAATGTGAACAAATGAAAGATGTAAACGAGGACTCCTGAAAACGTACAAGGAGAATAATACCAGGTGTTCCGGAAGAGTAAACGTTTTCTGTATATCCTCGTCAATCCAGGTAAATAATATTACGTTCTCAAACGAGAACAAGATGTACAACAACAGCATCATCAAACACGCCCAGCTTCACGTCGCACATCAGTATGACCACCGCTAAACTTCCCGTTCGTTTAGCGTTACGAGTTTGTTGCGAAAGTTGACGGATTCTTGCACGAAAATCGTGATAATGGGAACAGCCCTTTGAATATCGAATTGACGGCGACATATAAACACACCATAGGTTTAGGATGCAGGGATATTGCTATTCATAAATGGAAATTCACAATAGGGAAAATGAAATCATCACGGTTATAAATAGCTTGGTGGAAAGCTGTCCACGTCGTATTCATGGTAGGAAAAGATCGAGAATAGCAGTTGATGTAGAAGTGTCTGTCGTGTCATTGATTTTTTTATTGTGATGGGTATATGGTATGGACGTGGTCAATAAATTTCTGAAAGTGAAATGGACGTTTTCAATCTATTTAATTTCTCCAATTCACTTCATTTCCAGAAATAACCCCAATAGAACATCATGGAAAACTGCATTTAGTTTTTCAGACACTGGTACGATAAGAAATTCAATTTTCATTCTCCTTTGTGCACTTTTTGTACCATTTGTAACCAGACAAGGCAGCCAGCGTTATTTTATCTGTGGAAATGTCACTTCGAGTTTGTACTAAAAACACACAAAAACATTAGCAATAATCATATATATATGGAAATGAAAAATTATTGCACAGTAGGGTTGGAACACAATCTTATCCACTTCTTGCCATCTCTAATATTGTTCATTTTTTCCAGTCGCTTTCTAGGTATAAAAAATAGGCCGTTAGCATCACTAACGAGTCCTAAAATGACGAAATGAATGTATACTGTGTTATTGTAATCATTATCTGGCTCTCCTTCATCTTATTCTTAATTTGTCTTTAAAAGTGTTATTCTCTTGTGTATCTTTGTTACAGTGGTCGGAGGCCTGTGGTACCATTTAAGTTGTATGAACTTCCATACCAGAAGATTGAAACTGTAAAACTAGAGATAGGACGTATTGTTCGCACTGTTGATGACATTATAAATCCTAGTTACTATTGGCTTGTTCATTAGGCTATCGACCTGACACCTGTGCCTAACACCTTTATATAAGATGACACGCTGTATAGGGTTGGTAAGATAAACAGACCAGGCAGTATTCTTAATTGTGTACTGTGTTGTGGGTATTGACAGGTAAGTTATCATTATACTAATTTCGCTATAATACTCACCCTGCACTATAAACAATATTATTTGGACATTGATATCTTTAATTTTCGTGATGTTGATTTCATGGATGATTTCAATAAACGAGTTCATAAACACCAATACAAGTCGACTTATTGAATTTATTTATAAAATTAAGAGTCAATGAAAAAGTGATATATTTTAAAACATATTGAACTTAATTCCGTGTTTTATTAAAACACAGCATGATTATCTAAATGGCACAGATTTTGTTAATTCTATAAACGCCAACAAATGTTTATTATTTATCCCTGGTAAAAATACCACCGTGTGCATTCATCAGATAATCCAAATAGATCGGTACGAGTCGATAGATGTGTTTGTTGGATGCTGTCATAACGGATACAGAAAAGCAGCAGATGAGGAAAATAATGCTGACGAATTATACTTATAATTCTAATGTTTTGATTTAATTCTGAAATTGAAATACTTTAAATGTGATTTTCTATCTCATGACCTGACTGGTGTTATCTCATGTACTAAGAAATGATGTCATACTCTTTTTTAAGTAGCATACATACTTGGAACTCACCATATTTGAACTTGTAAACTTACTCGAAAGATGCAAATTAAGGGAAAGCTTACAGTCATCATATTGATAATATTGGAAAATGTTCGGTTTCCTTGTGCGAAATATGTCGGGCGTTTCCGATGCTTACCTGGATGAACTAAAACATAAATAACGGGTGTCGTCAATGCCACGTTCACCATTGCAAATCACTTGGTTTTATAATGTACTTTTTCAGGGATCACCTCGTAAATCTTTGGTTTGTTCATATTTTAAAATTCTTTTCTGTTGTGCATCGCATTTCCCACGACAAACTGTTGTCAGAGTGACAGATCACCTTACTGTTAATGTGTGACTTTAACAACAATCATGATTACGTTTTAACTTTCATCATTGCATTGTTAACATTGCAGGTGTGATCAGAGGATGTCCTAGAAGACAGTTTACCCATCCCACTTTTACAAACCATTGGTAATCACACGCATTGTGCAGCAGCTACATTATCATAGTTCTTTTTTCTGATAATGTTGTTCTACTACTGGACAGCTACTTCGTTGTGTCCCAGTGTTTTCCAGTTCCATCTCTAAAAACGAGACTTTAGAATCTGTTTGGTTTGCCGTAAATATGCTAACTTTAGAGGCCAAGCTTTTGTTATCGTATACACTTTTCTCCTGCTTAACATGCAATATATCTGGAAATTATGTCACAAATACAGACAAATTATCAGACATTTTTAAAAATTATTCACCACTGTTCAAGCCAAGGAGGGATTTATAACAAAGTGTGGAGGTAAATATAACATTACATTTCACGACACTTAGTGAAGTCAACGAGAGGTTACAAAACATGCGTTTCATAGCCTGGTTTGATATATCTTGGGTGGACGAGTTTCTGATATTAAGTAAAGATATGGAAAGTTTGCTGATTCCAAAAGAAGACATCTGGTATCCGGACCTTAGTATTTACGATTTACTTCAAAATCCTCAGGCTGTAAGTGAGGGAACCAATGTTATTTTGTTCCAAAATGGCCGTGTGTCCTGGTACCCTGGGCAGGAGTACACCACTAGATGTGGAATTGATATTAGAAAGTACCCATTTGATGTGCAAAAGTGTAGTTTTCGTGTAGGTGCATGGCACAATACAGCTTGGACACAGAATTATGTAGCCTCGGAGAATGGATTCGATATTTCAAGTTTCCGTGAGAACGGAGAGTGGGAAATAACTGATACATCAGCAGAATCAATTCGGTTATCGTTGTATAACAATTCTTTCATAATGTTTAGCATCTTACTTAAACGGCGACCTCTACATCCGGTTCTGAATACACTTGTCCCAATTATCCTTCTCGCCTTCCTGAACACGCTAGTGTTTCTACTTCCGGCTAATTCTGGTGAGAAGTTGACCCTGTGTGTATCTGTATTCTTGTCCTTCACCGTGTTTCTAACCGTGTTTAACGATACAATGCCGAAGATGTCCACTACCGTATCCTACCTGTCAATCTACCTTGTCGGTCAGCTCGGAATGAGTGTGTGTGGAATTTTCATGACTATTTACATTTGGCGAGTGAAAGACAGAGAAAAGGCAGGAGAATATGAATTTGTCAATTCTACATCCAAAAACATGAACCAAGGAGGAATACACAGACAACTTTGTACAAACAACAAGGACATTAAGGCTCTCCCAGCAGAAGATGCCCTAAAGACGAACGGTTGTGTAGGAGACGAGACCGACTATCGTTTGTCGTTCGGGGACTACAGCAGAGGGATGTTATATGAAAAATCCACGGGCAAGAGTTATTGTATAACAACAATGGAGAAAGCCACAGAGCCACAGAGGAGTATTGCACAATTGGACAAGATGATGTTCGTGGTAACATTTGGTTTTGTAGTAATATCTACAACATCTCTTTTAATAGCGTTGATAATATGATATTCTTATTACTGATATACGAAGGCCTTTTTCAGCTCTGCTGGTCCCTGACCACCTAAAACTAAATTGTGTCGTTCGGTCAGTTTATGTCGAAGAGATATCATTCAAACTTTTGCAAAATGGACGAAATTGCTGAAAGACTGGTGATTCAATATTAACATAAGAAATGTATAGCACCTTATAATATCCATACTGATATGGTAGCAACACTAGGGAATGATGCCCCTTCATTTGCTACAGTGAAAAGGTGGGTGGCGGAATCTAAGCGTGGCAGGAAGAGCCTTGAGTATGACGCCCGTCCTGGAAGGCCTGTCACTGTGTCGACCCCAGAAATTGACAATAAAGTCGATGATATTGTTATGACTGACAGGCAAGTTACAGAGAGATATATAGTTAGTGCAGTTGAAATTTCACAATCTTGTGGTGAGAAAGCGTTCAGCCCATTGGGTATCAAGACTTCTTTTAATTGATCAGAAGCACACCAGGCGGACTTGGTCGCGTGTTAATCTGAACCATCTTAAGGCAGATCCTGCTAACTTTCTGCAGAGGTTTGTGACTATGAAGGAAACGCGGGTCCATCATTTCATCACAGAGAGGCCAAACTATAATCTAAACAAAGTAAGTACTCTGGTTCTCCGCCACCAAAGATGGCAAAAATTATGCCTCGGTGTTCTGGGATGCTGATGATCTGCAAAAGGGACAAGCAATTAATGGCACATATTATGCATCACGTTTTATGCATTAAAAGAAAAGAGGACAATGCCCCTGTTCACAAATCTTTCATTGTCATTAACGATTATATCTTTGAATTGATTGACTATCCCCCTTATTACCCGTATCTTGCTCCATCAGACTTTCATCTATTTCAAAAATTGAAAAAGGTCATTTCCGGTACCTACTTTCGCTCAGATGATGACGTCCTATATGCAGTGGAAGACTTTCTGAACGGTCAAGAAAAGGACGTCTTTAAAAATGTCATTGAGGCCATTAAACATCGCTGGCAAAGTGTACAGATACTGAAGATGATTATGTTGAAAAATAATGCAATGTGTCCGCCAAAAGTCAAACCCTCAGAATTTATCAATCACTTCTCGAAGTTTGACAGCCTTGCACAGGGAAACATGTATTAGGGATGTAATTGACAAATATATACATTTTGTATGATCTCTCCACTCATAAAAAGAATAGTACAGCGAGCAAGAAAATAGAGAATGAAACTGTCGTGCGAATGGATGATACTTGAATTTATTCTCCTGATAAAGTGAACATGGTATTGTTTATCGTTTCTATTATGAAGAAAATCCAAACACAAAGTAGATATAATAATGCAAACAGTAGCAACTACAACAAATATACCTACATTGTTAGCTGTTGTTAAGTACTAGGTTGTATAAAAACGCGCCGCCACATGAGTTTGTTGTAAGCGCCATGATCGATATAAACTTTGTTATACAATGTATAAGATCGATGTTCATCAGATCGATCAACTCGCCAACCTCCCTTACATGTTTACCGACATCGTTAATGATCTGGTAAACATGCTTTAAAACAACAAATCAGATTTCTTGTGTAAACAAAACTGCCGGCCTGTCTCGACATCGAGAAAACGAGGGCAAAATGACAGAAACGGCGACTTACGAGCGAGAATATTTGTGTTCTTCACACGTTCAAGTATTTCCAGTGTTTACTTTAAAGTTCTCTTGATTTGTTAACGAATTGTGAAATAAATAGATGTACCACGATAAAAACTAATAACGATATTCAATTTTAAAGCAATTAAAGTTTTCACAACAACTATATAACGTATGACGTATTTTTCACTTAGTTGAACGGTGCCATTCACTTGTGTGTCGTTTGTACAATCTTAAAGATAACAGGTAGTAGACACAGATAGTGGACTTAAAGTCCCCCGATGTTTGCCGTTACCTGCTTGCTACGTTTTAATTTACTCGAATAGTAGTACGATTCAGAAAATACACATGTACTTGACACTATTAAAAAATTATCTGGTGTATATGATCTAATTATAGGACTGCTGCACCTCCCCGTCTAGATTTTGATTTTTCTTTTGAACTCTTTGGGTTTTCCTTGGTCGCCTCCCAGGCTTCAAAGTTTGGGTCCTTTGCATCACTGACGAGTCCTGGAGGGACGAAACAGATGTATGATGTAGTTTAATCCATTGTTGGGTTCTACTGTATACCACGCTAAATTATGAAAATGTGCCATTCACTTTTCTGTCTTTTGTACAGCTTTTGTACTAGGTGTACAGCTGACAGATAAACCAACAACAGATAGTTCTGAGAAAGGCAAGCTGAGGAAGTTTGATGGTCGCCATAGTAACGAAACGGTAAATGTCTATTTTTATTTCCAATGCGGAGTTGAAAGTGTTTGATTTTGAAAGTATTCCTGTTAGTATCATTGATTACTAAATCAAGAGTTGCACGGCAGGTGTTGTCGATGAATCAGATGTTACTTACCTTTCTGGGACACATGATCTTATTATCATTGTACTTTTTTCCTGGAAACTTGTGAAAATATGCTACAAATTGAAGCAATTGACTTCAGTGTGCTGTACCCGAATCACGACCCCATCATTTGTACTCGGAACATCCTGGGTATATGAGTTCCTCATATTGAGCGAGGACGTGGAAAGTTTGTTGGTTCCAAAACATGACATATGGTATCCGGACATCAGTATATACGACACTGTTGAAGATCCACAGACCATCAGTGATGGACAACACGTGATTCTGTTCCAGGACGGTCGTGTGTCGTGGTACCCAGGGAAGAAATGCGAAATCGACATCCTGGAGTACATGTATGTCACAACACAGACTGGACACAAAGATTTATTGCGTCGGAGAATGGATTTAATCTATCACGTTTTAGTGACAATGTGGTTGGAGTCAAACAACAAACAGAATTACAACACCTCCATGATACAATATTACGTCCATTTTAAACGACGCTCTGTACATCCGGTTTTAAACGTTCCTGAACACACTCGTAATTCTACTTCCGGCGAACTCTGATGAGAATATTACACTATAAATTTCTTATTTTGCTGTCATTTACAGTGTTTTTAATATTACTTCATGATACATTGACAAAAATGTCCACATCATATCTGTCGATCTATGTGTTATTCAGCTTGGAATGGTGTGGTTGGTATAGCAATGTCAGTATATAATTTGAGGACAAAGGACGGAGAAACAGAAGCGGAGAACAATTTTCAATGAAGGAATAAATAGAACCGAGAATACAGGCAGCGATAACGTAAAAGCCCGTCGTCTCCAAAAACAAATCAACCGTATCGAGGATGATAGCAGAGTAGATGAAGTTTCACAAGTAACGAAGGTGACAAGCATTTGTCGTTCAGTAACCATAGCAACAACTTTCTACGAAATACATCGTCCAGTAAAAGTCGACGTATAAAAAATAGTTCCATTATTTAAGACTTCCTATCTTAGCAACACGTAAAAGGCTGCAGAACTAAAACGGAACATCGCGCGGTTTAACAGGATCATATTCCTGTTAACGTTTTGCTTTAAAGTGATGTTAACATTGTCTATTTATATCATTGTTGGTGTAGTGTCTGTTTCATTATTAAGCCTGTCGTTTACCGATATAATGTGTTGCATTAAAAAAAAGTGTATTTCCGAATCATGACATTTAGTATGCTCTTAGATACAATCAGAACATATATATTACACTATTTAATATTGACTTTTATAACTATCTGTTGTGGTAAATTTTCCCTCGAATTAATTCACGGTTGTTCTAAATATAGTGTAACGTTCTGTAAGAAATTAAAAGTGTATAGTGGTATTCAGCTGTTGTTCATTTGTTTGGTAGTTGAAGGCAACAGCAATCGGTAACTTATATATATATATTATAAAATATCCAACAATATCCATGACCAGCAGTTTACGTCGAACTTCTGACAGTTCACTGTTACGTACGTAATTAGCCATTGCTTGTTGAACCCTATATGGACAGAATTCAGCCGATCATTTTATGTTGACAGTAATGAAGACATGTTAAATAATTCCTGTCTCATTGTTTGCGCATTTCATTGTGAAATAATTATTAAAATAACATGCGTGGATATACTATCGATAATTTAAGTTTACATTAAATGTTTGTCTTACATTTATTGATAAACAATTTTTATATACACGAGTAAAGAGATATTTGCCGAAGTCGAACGGAAGCACTTCTGCATGTTGGAGGACACAATAGTACACAGACATAAAAATTCTGTGACCAGGAAGATGACCATTTATTGAAAAGGTATATATAGGTAAAAAATTCTAAGGCATATCAAGGTATAGATTCAAAAGTTTATCAAGGTATGAATTAAAGGCATGCTGGATTTATTGCTTGTTAAGAGAAGGGTTTAATTTTAAAAGTTCAGTCGATGGTGTTTAAATAATATAAGGACGCAAAAATACAAAACACTATTACGTCATCGACAATTAATGAGTCTGCAGTTTAAATAGTCATGCGTTATCCTCAGTATCTATCTGTAACATGGCGACCATATATATAATAAAACTACAACCTGCCAGCGATGATACAAGTTTGATCAAATTGATAAATTCCTGGATTTCACTGGCAAAAATATGATAAAACTTACCATAATACAAACAGCGTAATGACGTCACCGATAACAGGTAAATCATCATAAGATTAATGTTATTGGTAACTTTTAATACGAATCCAATTCATTTCAAATTCTTTGTGAATTTTCCACTTCAGAATGGCAACAATCCTGCATCCCCAACCTATGATGTTCTATTGAATTGAGTTTGGATTATCATTATATTATCTTGTTACAGAACCGATTACAATTGATCTCTGCTGATATCTGTTTATGCAGGAATATACCTAAACGATGTCTATTGAAATTATCTTTAACGTAAGATTTGTTTACATAAATTTTCATAAAATCAATATCAAAATCAAGCATCTTTCTTAAAGCATTCTTCGATCAACCATATCAAGAAGATATGGGACCCCCCACGAAGTGGAATAAATATAGGTATGTGTGAAATATATTTTTCATGTATATAGTGGTTTTTATACACGACCAATATGAACATTATATGTCACTGTTACCATGACTACAGTGCGACATTAATTAGAGGTGTGAAGTGTATTGGTAGGGAAATCTAGTGTACTATATACCTTTAATGATAATACACGTTATAGTCATTTATTGATTGTGATAGTGTAGGCCTCCCAAATAGCACGGATAAATTTTTCTACGACTACTGCAGTAACACATCGATCTCTGCACAGGACTCCTGTGTGTAGCCTAGACTACCACGTAGTTGGGAGAGGCTGTAGCCTAGACCACCACGTAGTTGGAAGTGGCTGTAGCCTAGACCCCCACGTAGTTGGGAGAGGCTGTAGTCTAGACCACCACGTAGTTTGGAGTGGCTGTAGCCTAGAACACCACGTAGTTTGGAGTGGCTGTAGCCTAGACTACCATGTAGTTGGGAGTGGCTGTAGTCTAGACCACCACGTAGTTTGGAGTGGCTGTAGCCTAGAACACCACGTAGTTGGGAGTGGCTGTAGCCTAGACTACCATGTAGTTGGGAGTGGCTGTAGTCTAGACCACCACGTAGTTTGGAGTGGCTGTAGCCTAGAACACCACGTAGTTGGGAGGCTGTAGCCTAGACTACCATGTAGTTGGGAGGCTGTAGCCTAGACCACCACGTAGTTGGGAGTGGCTGTAGCCTAGACCACCACGTAGTTGGGAGTGGCTGTAGCCTAGACTACCACGTAGTTGGGAGTGGCTGTAGCCTAGACCACCAAGTAGTTGGGAGTGGCTGTAGCCTTGACTACCACGTAGTTGGGAGTGGCTGTAGCCTAGACTACCACGTAGTTGGGAGTGGCTGTAGCCTAGACTACCATGTAGTTGGGAGTGGCTGTAGTCTTGACTACCGACTGTAGCTCTCTCTTACCACCACGTAGTTGGGAGTGGCTGTAGCCTAGACTACCATGTAGTTGGGAGTGGCTGTAGTCTTGACTACCGTGCAGTGGCAGATGGCTTTATCTATGTATCACGCTTTCTACAGAACAGAAACAGGATACAACAATAATGCTGTCTCTCTTTATTGATGTTCCAGATGTTGTAACAGTGATGCTTGGTGTCTGTCTAATACTCCACATATATATCCGATACATGAGTGGTGCATATACAAACAAATATAGGGTCAGGGATATTTATCAGCGGTTAATTTAATTGTATTTTTTTCATAACTCCTTACACATCCTGTTGCCTTACCCAATCCCTCCAACAACCCCTTACCATGCATCAATTCCATATTGCTACAACATAATCATGTTTTTATTGTTAATAAACTCATGTTTGACTCCTTCCAGCTAGACTTCACAGGTAATTCATTTGACCCTTGACAATGGACAATTTCAGAAGTCAAATCACAAATCAGAATGGTCAAATCATCTATGAAGAAGATGTGACAGGTTCTTATATGTATATCTCCCTTCAAACTCGATTGTAAATACATTTTGAGATTGAAAAACAGACTATCAAGGGTTTACTGAATGTCCAGTATACTGATATTATATACAAGATGTAATGAAATTTTTATCATGAATCCTTCCACACTCCTTTCAGCCTCAAGGATCTGGTCCCTGTTTTACAAGTCCTGCTTTGCCATCTGCAGGAAGAATATTTTGTCGGATGGAGAGCTCATTCTCCTGATTAAGATTCACTAAACAAGAAAACTTGGTTCACATTTTTAATTGCCTTCATCTTAAGTCGACATTATACTTAATGAGAGTGATACGAGATATGACGATGCATTGAAGAATGATTAAGAGTTTTAAAAAAGTCTGTTTCGTATTTCATTCAGTATAAATACACTTCACGTCCTTTTCTCAATATATAAAAAAAATGATACCAGTAACTTCTTCATTTGGACTTCATGACTTGACATAGATCCTAGATTTAAAAACGTGCGTTCCATAAAAATGAGTTCAGCTCACAACACTGGATTCTGTTATCAGATTAACTGTGATTGTATCATTCTAACTGTTAACTGAGATCCATATCAGATTACGATATCACAATAATACATTGTTATCAAGTTGGTCATTAACCAACTAGATTATTCCCAAAAATCATCTGTTCACTACAATTTTCTGAGAATAACAACACATGATGCTGCAACTGAGAAGTGAGAAGCTAAATACTCCAAGAACACAATTTTCTATGGCAAACTACAAAACAAAGTTCTATGTCAAATTTACAAGAACATGCTTTGTTATCAGCGCCACACATAGTATCAGGTCACTGATGAATCACATTTTACATTCCAAAGAAATAAAATTGCCAGCACAAAAGAATTTGTTACAAGTGTCACTTCACTAAACTCCTAACAAACTATGCAACTCATCATCGTCCATGGCTGGATCTGATTCCGAGTCCGAATCTTTCTCCTCTGAAGATTCTTTCTCTGGTTCCTTAGTCTCTGTTGGTTTCTCCTCCTCTGCTTTCACTTTTTCCTTCTTAGGAGGAGGATATCCCGACTCAAACGGAGCCTGTGTGGGATCATACACAGGCTGTGCTGAGAATGTTTCTGTTCCCTTAATGATGGCAGCAATCCTGGCATCAAGATCAATCCTCTCCTACAACAAAAAGTCACATCAGAAATATCTACTTAGTATAATCTCTTTACTAACGAGAGCTGTTCACCATCACTTACCTATTGGTGACATATTTCAGTAAATACAAATTTATCCCTTTAGGGCCTCATGAATATAAAAAAATATGGTTGAGAATATTGCTAATTATAATTCATATTAGTGCTTTAACTGTTAAATGATCAATGACACATTGACATTTGTGATCCAGAATTGCTTCAAAAATTCCCCCCTTTTGGACCCCATGAAAATAAAAAATAATGCTTTTGCATATTGATAATAATTTGTATTAATGTTCCACAAGTTATTTAATAATCAACAGCTCCTTGACATTTGAGATTTTGGAAATGTGTGGAAAAACATGCATAACTTTCTTTTTTAATTTTATGGTCAAATGAAGACTAAGCTGGGGAGACTGTCTTAGCTCCCCCTGTTCCCCTTTTTTGAATAGGAAAGCTAAAAAACTAATTCCCCAAAGTGAAGTCACAAAACATTCTACAAGTGACAACAATACAGTCCAGTTATAACAGGAGTTGATCAGTTAGTGTGGAGATAAATGGACTATACACATTCTGCCAGTGAACATTCTGTTCCAGCCCTCCCACACACACTTGTACTATATACTGTATATATGAACACAATACTATCTATTAACACAGATAATCCACCAGAATACCAAGGTGTATATTTGGTTTAATTGCCCCTACCTGATCTTCCATCATGTCTTCTGTATCGTCTGGGAATTCTGCTTGTGCTGAATACTTAGCTGCCTCCTGTGCAGCTTGCTGCATGGAATGAGAGAGATCATCTGACTGACTGCCACCCTCGGATTTATCTCCCTTATCTGTTTCACCTTCATCAGGTGAATCAATTTCCATATCATCGCCGCTGTCACCAGAGATGCTCTCCACCCCCGATAGGACCATCTTGTTCACATCAGACTTGCTTTCTCCCTCCACCTCAGATTGATTGTCTTCCTCGTCATCCATCTCGTCCATCTTGTCGAGAACACTACTGATTTTTTCTAAGTCTGCACTGAGATTGTTTACAGCGGGAGCACTATTGTTATTTACAGATATGCCTGGTAATGACGGCTGATCCGTTAACCTCCCATTACCAGGTAATCCTGGTACTGTTTGAGTGTCTGTTTTAGTTACAACAATAGGTCCACCTAATCCTGGAATTTGCTGATCCGAACCACCCCAGCCAAATGAAAATGATGACGGGTTTGTTTCCCCTAGTCCAACAGTAAAACCAAGACCTTGTGGGGTCTGATCTTCTGTTTCATTCCCTCCTACAGTTTCACCCTGTATTGCAGGCTGATCTGTTTTACCCCCTCCACCATCTAAAGATGGTTCTTTCACTGCATTGTTTGACTGAATAGGACTGTTATTTTGTATGTCATTAGATGGGGATACAGATTCACTTTGAGTTGTCTCCCCTACACCATTATCGCTTAGCCTGTTGTTGAGATCAGCCGTGCTGTTAACGGGCTCCGAGTCGCCTGTTCCTTCCACAGAAGGGACTTTGTCCTCCTCTACAGGGACAATGGTGGGAAGAGCAGGTAAGGAGTCTGGAATATCTGTTTAAAAAACACAAGTCAGAGTTTAACATCTAAGCATAATTTGAGTGAAGCTTTTACTAAATACTTTTCATTTCTCTTCCTCATACTAAAGTTTCTCACAGCAGAATCACTTTCTTTCAGCAAAGGTGTTTCATACAGCAAGAAAAACAGGTCAACAAGATGACTACTAAATGCAAAATACAAAGAAATATTGTTAAAGAGCAGAGTTTATCTCTAACCTTAGATAGATGTAGGCATGCTTTTAGCTTCAGACATTTCCTAGTCTCATCCTTCAGTTGAGAAGGAAGTGATTCACTGTGCATAACCACTCCACATCAACAACATAAAGCACACATCAACAATACAAAGCACACATCAACATGTTTATCAAAACATCAATCACTCCCTTTTTGGTCAGATAGGCATATCCAAATGCTCGGGAGAAGATTACGAAGTTACAAAGTCAACAGGCCTTGTTTGCCAACATAACTTTCCTCTCAAGATCAGATCCCCTGACCCCTCCCCAAGGGCATGAACAATTCTATTTTCTCCCACCTAAGCACAACTGAAAACTTGTTGGGTAAAGAACTTTGAAATTTTGAGAAAGCATGCTTAGGACCCTTTCATTCAATTCTATTTCAGTACGATAAATGTTTTAGTAATGTGATTACTTCTGTCACCCATATTGCCCTAACAGAATCAATAGAGTGATTCTAACACTGTTTTTATAACAGTTTGTGGTACTGATATGTTAATGTGTTCATGGCTACAGTACATCACAGCTTACCTATAGGTTGAGAGATTTCATTTTCTTTATTTTCACGTTCTTTCATAACCTCCACCTGTTTATGGTGATGTCGTCTGTGTCCCGAGTCCTTGGGAGTTGTCTGAAATAAAGAAATACCAGAAATATCCTAGAAAATGATTAAATGGACATAATTCTAAGACTTCTTAATGGACAGATGTTGCTAGCCATCACATATTTATAACAATCCTCACTGTTCATACTGATCATCACTTTTCATACCGATCATCACTATTCACACCAATCATCACTGTTCATACTGATCATCACTATTCACACCAATCATCACTGTTCATACCGATCATCACTATTCACACCAATCATCACTGTTCATACCAATCATCACTATTCACACCAATCATCACTGATCATACCGATCATCACTATTCACATCAATCATCACTGTTCATACTGATCATCATTATCCACACCAATCATCACTATTTATGGATTTATAGTAACATTAACATAGCAATGCCACTTGTTAATGATGTAAAATTGTTGATTTTCAATGGGTTATGAAGTTTTTTTATTTTGTTAAAACTTTAGTCCATGAATTCATACGTCCACATGAAATTTAGAACGAGTGAGTTTTGTGAGATTTATCTACACTACGTATCAATTAATTAAAAATATGCTTTAACAAACAATATTTTAACCACAACACATAAAAAAGCACAATTTGATGAATTGTAAATGACAGTGTTTTAATTATACATAAAAAAATATTACTGTGTAGTTACATTGTTAATTACTGTCAGTAATTACATAACTTTCAGCAAAATTGGGCAGTAATCTGTATACGACAATAAAAAAAGTGCAGGGAATGTATAAAGATACATTAAAGTGTTTAATTATGGCATTTACAGTTCTATAAATAACCTTAAATTCCAGAAACACAATTCAGTGCTCAGGTAAATAAAATTATTATTGGACCTATATCAGAGTTTTTTTTCTAAATCAATGGTTAATGACTTACCGGGGTTCCCATATCTACATCTCCAGCCAGGAAGAAAGCTTTAAATTTGTGATAAATTAGTTCTGCTTTTTTCCGAATTCTGTCACTACCTTTAAATTTTCTAATCTGTAGAAAAAGAAAACAAGTATTCAAGAATTAAACAACTGCAACAGTAATTATAATGCCCTCTTACACTTTTTGAGATACTCAGCCAAGTTGTGGAAGCTGAGGATAACTGTTTCTTGTTTTTTTTTTTTTTTTATCAAAGATAATCACTTCAGCACATCTCAATGTTCAGTGCCATACAGGCAATCTTACAAGCGTGTCGATAGAATATGGAATTTATAGAATGAGCTCTATTTAACCAGTTTAATGAATTCAGTATCGCATCAATGCAAGTGGAAGATTTCATTTCACATACAACTCATACTTCTGTAAAAAGAAGCGAAAATTCTCAAATTAATTTCCCTATAAGACAGACCATACTTTTTTCACAGAGACATGTAACGTCATCTAGACATGACTGATCTAAGATATCACAACAGTGTTATTACACAACTTACAATATTTATGATGTGGCCTTGTAACATAACAGTTACAGAATAAAAATATTGACTGATAATTTTTCATGACATGCTTAATGCTTCTATGAATTGTTGCTTGTAACTATAAAGCTAGAATACCACTCTCTAGATGAATTAAACTTCCTTTACGTTTTACTTACACAAAAGATAGATTCTTTTTAACCTGTTTTTGTGAGAAGCAACTACAACATAAAGCCATGTAGACAAGATTTTACTGTATATAGCTACACTGTAATTACCATTTTAATGGTTTTCATGATGTCTGGGTTTTTCTTCAGTAGTACTTGATTGACTGGAAGCGTATTCAGATCATCCATGATCGCGAGACATTTGTCAACATCCTGTAAAATAACAGTAAAAAACAGCTAAAACAGATCTACATTTAACAGGGAAGCGATAGTTATATTAACAAGGATATGGTATTTCTGAATAAATCTGTGGATTCAGATGATACATTTTCTTCATGCTGGAAGTTTTGAATGAGAGCAAACTTCCTCTTGGATATTCCAAACAGTTGGCCGTTGACATTGACTTGTGTGTACAAGTGACTCAAAATGTTACTCCTCCGATCTAATAACAATTTACTCAAGACAGTTATAACTGAAATGTTAATATGTAAGAAACAGACCTATACCACACAAGTAACACAGGGACGCTGTCAGGTAAATAAACAAACTTGTAACACAGGGACGCTGTCAGGTAAATAAACAAACTTGTAACACAGAGACGCTGTCAGGTAAATAAACAAACTTGTAACACAGGGACGCTGTCAGGTAAATAAACAAACTTGTAACACAGGGACGCTGTCAGGTAAATAAACAAACTTGTAACACAGAGACGCTGTCAGGTAAATAAACAAACTTGTAACACAGGGACGCTGTCAGGTAAATAAACAAACTTGTAACACAGGGACGCTGTCAGGTAAATAAACAAACTTGTAACACAGGGACGCTGTCAGGTAAATAAATAAACTTGTAACACAGGGACGCTGTCAGGTAAATAAACCAACATGTAACACAGGGACGTTGTCAGGTAAATAAACAAACTTGTAACACAGGGACGCTGTCAGGTAAATAAACAAACTTGTAACACAGGGACGCTTACAATCAGGTAAATAAACAAACCTGTAACACAGGGACGCTGTCAGGTAAATAAATAAACCTGTAACACAGGGACGCTGTCAGGTAAATAAACAAACTTGTAACACAGGGACGCTTATAATCAGGTAAATAAACGAACTTGTAACACAGGGACGCTGTCAGGTAAATAAACAAACTTGTAACACAGGGACGCTTATAATCAGGTAAATAAACCAACTTGTAACACAGGGACGCTGTCAGGTAAATAAACAAACTTGTAACACAGGGACGCTGTCAGGTAAATAAACAAACTTGTAACACAGGGACGCTTATAATCAGGTAAATAAACAAACTTGTAACACAGGGACGTTGTCAGGTAAATAAACAAACTTGTAACACAGGGACGCTGTCAGGTAAATAAACACACTTGTAACACAGGGACGCTGTCAGGTAAATAAACAAACTTGTAACACAGGGACGCTTATAATCAGGTAAATAAACACACTTGTAACACAGGGACGCTGTCAGGTAAATAAACAAACTTGTAACATAGGGACGCTGTCAGGTAAATAAACCAACTTACCACAGAATCTTTCTGGACACACTTTTTTATCTCTTTGTCCATCGCTACTAGTTTAGTTTCAGTTTGTATGACTGAAAGAAAAGTAATAACCATGATATTAAGTATTGATATTATACTGAAACACTAAAAGGACAATCCACAATCCACTGTACAGGATATTATAAGCCCCCGCATTAAATTTTTTCATGTTGCACAGTTTTAAATGCACAATTATTTCAATAGATATACCTGGAATATTTCACCAATATTTTTAGCACATCAACCAATGTTTCATTTTTGCCCTAATTCTCAATGGACAAAACTAAAAGGCAGTAAAATGAAGGCAGTAAAATGATGCCTCAAACTTACAGTTGATTTTATCTTTTTTCTTCTGTTCGTATTTTTCACGTTTTTTTCTCTCCTTCTCTTCTTCTTTTTCTTTACTGAAATAAGAAAAAAATGTCATTACTAAGGATATTTTAAATAGTCCTCACTTCAAAAATCAATTTTTTAACAAAATAATCTAAATCAGATATAAATCTGTCAAATGATGTGAAGTTTCCACTTTTCACTTTTACTTTTAGTCTTTTTTTTCTTGCCATCTTAACCAGGTGAGAACATGAGTTTATATCTTAAACGTGTGTTTTGATTACCAGGACTCAAATAATAGGTAGAATTTCAATGAATGCTTTGGCATATCAACTGGAAATAATTAAGGTACTTAAGAAAGTTTTCTGTGATGAGTTAAACGCAGTCTTAAACAAAAGTGTACAAACATCAGGCATTAACTTCATTATATCTACCGACACATCTACAGCTTTATTGACCTTGTTTACAATAGTCGGGCCGTTCAGATTCCTACAACCTTAGCCAGACCAACACCTTTACCACTGATATTTAAAACATTCTATGCTACTGAGGCTAAACCTTTCTACAACTGATGGTTCTATCCTTCTTTAATTTACAATAATACAATTTCTGCCTCAAGTTGTTTTGTTTTTCAATCGATTACTTACAATTTTCGAACTCGTTCCTTCTCCTTCTCGATCCGCCGTCTTCTCTCGGCTTCTCTTTCTGCCCTAGCTTTTTCCTCCCTCTCCTCCTCCCGTCTTCTTTCCTCATGCTGATCAAAAACATTCTGACACTATAATTGCTATTACAGCACCTATTCTCTCCAGTTAACGTCAAACAATCTAGCATTGTATTTATTATTGATCAGCATTTTAATATGCAGTATAATCCCCGAAGTTGTATCATGTAATCTAATAAACATAAACTGCCTCAGGCACAGATATAACCACACACCTTAGATATTCGCCCGTGGTTGTAGTCGTCTAATGAAGGTGTTAAATTATTCCTTCAATCATATCACAAAACTTAACTCCGATTCAATTTTTTATACATACTTTCTCAATATGATACGATTCACCATTTAGATTAGTCATTCAACCTGATCTAGATTACACATGGATTATAGCCAACAAGTATCATTGAAACCAATTCAGTAGTTTTAGGAGAAGCCGGTACTGATGGATGGACAGACTGACAACCTGATTCCAGTACACACCCCTCTAACTTTATTGTGGGAGAGTGTTGGGTGTTTGGGATTGGGGTGGGGGTTATAATTTTTACTAACAAAAAATGTATCATATATGAAAAACAAGAGGCCTAGCAGCCGTGATGGCCACCTGAGATAAGCAATATTGAATATAAATGTTAAAGGGTAGTTATCAAGTGTCATGAAATAGAAAATGTGACACTGAATATAGACAGTCAGTGTCAATACATGCATACCATCAAAACTGTCATCCTATACTGAAAAATTCTTATTATGAAGTTATTTCCAGCGGAAAATAACCGACATTATGCTCAAAAATACAATTTTTCATATGAAAATTACAGAAAAGTCTAAAAAAACCTTCCTCCTAGGAAGAAATGTGAGACTCATTTTGGTAATTAAAGCACCTTAAGATGCTTTCATTCATGAAGAGCATTTGATTCTGACGTTGAGAAGAAGATTTTTTAAATTTAAGTCAATTTAATCCCTTTTTGGCCCCACCCAAGTGGACTGTATAATTCACAATTTTGGTTCATCTTGGGCCAGGGAAGGCTTCTGCAAAAATTTCATTGAAATTGGATCGAGGGTTTTTGAGAAGAAATTGAAAATGTTGAATTGTTTACGGTCACCAACAGACTTTATCTCAGGTGACTTAATAAAGAAATGGAATTGAATGGTTTTTGCCATCATACAACATTGTGTCAGAAAATGTGTAGTACCTACAGAGCCATTGGGACCCCCTCATTGTCAACCTTCACACCAGAATATGAAATATCACCCTTATGAGATCCAAGATATTCTTCATCAAACCACATCTTTGAAAACCTGTGCTGTAAGACTTCCAGCCTACAGCCAACAACACTGAGGTAACGATACTGGAAACAAGTCTCTCACCAATTATGACAGTAGCAGGACTGTTACTTTTGAGGAATGGGAAAAATTGATAAAAATATTAATTGTTGATAGCTGAAAACCAAACAGAAATAGGAGAAACACTTCCCATCATATTTTTAAAATGACAGATCTAGTCCTTAGAAAATGTGGACCACAGTAAACAATGAGAAATGGAATGAAATCACTACAGATCAACAAATATTGAAGCTGTCAATCTCTATACATAGCATTGATTATACAACCAAGATAATTACCTGTTGTGATTTTTCCTTGGATTGTGTTTTTTCTTTAGACTGTGCTTTTTCCTTCGATTTAGAATCAGAAGATTTGGACCCTTTAGAACTTTTTTCTGTTTTAACTTTTTTCTCTTCACTGTCACTTTCAGTCCTAGTTTTAACTTCACTCTCCATTTCCTTATTACTTTGTTCAACATCATCTACTTCTTCCTTCACTTCTACTTTCTCTTCTTCTGCTACTTCCTCCTCCTCTTCTCCTTTCTTCTCTTCCTCAGAATTATCTTTTTCCTCTGCAATCACATCTTTTTCCTCCTCATCTTCAGACATCTCCTTCTTCACTTCTTCATTGTCACTTTCTTGGTCTGAATCCTCCATTTTCTTTGCCTTTTTTGTTTTTCCCTTTTTCTTGTCTTTTTTTCTACTCTGTAAATTGTATTTAAATAGAAAATATATTACAGATTTTTCATAATCATCCAATTGTACACATCAGATTAGTCTATGTTGTCAACTCACTCAATTTTATCAGAGTTTAACAATTTCAAAATTTATTTTTGAGACTTATATAATGAAAATAATGTTGAACGTAACCAAGATCATCTAAAAACATACAGATGTGATAACTGTACAATACATACAGATGTGATAACTATACAATACATACAGATGTGATAACTGTACAATACCTACAGGTGTGATAACTATACAATACCTACAGGTGTGATAACTATACAATACATACAGATGTGATAACAGATGTGATAACTATACAATACCTACAGGTGTGATAACTGTACAATACCTACAGGTGTGATAACTATACAATACATACAGATGTGATAACTGTACAATACCTACAGGTGTGATAACTATACAATACCTACAGGTGTGATAACTATACAATACATACAGATGTGATAACTGTACAATACCTACAGGTGTGATAACTATACAATACCTACAGGTGTGATAACTATACAATACATACAGATGTGATAACAGATGTGATAACTATACAATACATACAGATGTGATAACTGTACAATACATACAGATGTGATAACTGTACAATACATACAGATGTGATAACTGTACAATACATACAGATGTGATAACTGTACAATACATACAGATGTGATAACTGTACAATACATACAGATGTGATAACTGTACAATACATACAGATGTGATAACTGTACAATACATACAGATGTGATAACTGTACAATACAAACAGATGTGATAACTATACAATACATACAGATGTGATAACTATACAATACATACAGATGTGATAACTATACAATACATACAGATGTGATAACTATACAATAGAATTAATTATAAGGTTTTTTCACTTGACTACCCTTCAATGTACCCTGTCCCCCTTCACTCTGAAGGACTAGGATCAGATGGTAAGATACAGTTGACAGAGTATATATATCAAAGATACCGCCAGGTGAGTAAGTCAGTCAGTTAATCTATAAACTGTACATTGCCAAGATTCAGTAAAGATATAACAATTTACAATACTCATTATAGGCCCGTTTTATAATAATATATATACAATATCATTACTAATTCATGCTAATAGAAAAGAAGTTCTTATAACACAACCGGTAGAAGATTAGAGTGTGACGTTTTTGATGACTACACAGTCACCTTCATCTTATAACACAACCAACCAGTAGAAGATTAGAGTGTGACGTTTCGATGACTACACGGTAACCATCATCTTATAACACAACCAGTAGAAAAATTAGAGTGTGACGTTTTTGATGACTACACAGTCACCTTCATCTTATAACACAACCAACCAGTAGAAGATTAGAGTGTGACGTTTCGATGACTACACGGTAACCATCATCTTATAACACAACCAGTAGAAGATTAGAGTGTGACGTTTCGATGACTACACAGTCATCTTCATCTTATAACACAACCAGTAGAAGATTAGAGTGTGACGTTTCGATGACTACACAGTCACCTTCATCTTATAACACAACCAGTAGAAGATTAGAGTGTGACGTTCTGATGACTACACAGTCACCGTCATCACACAAATGACCAGTGTGGAGCGTACTTATGTAACATTTGAGATGGTAAAGAATCTACCAACTTTTTAGACTGTACTATAATCCAATGTACACTAAGGTCTAAAATAGTATGACAAGATGGTTAACAGATTATAGACACTCCCCCCCACCCCACCATCAAAAAAACACAAGATGGTAAACAGATTATACACTCCCCTCCATCCCAACACCAAAAAAACACAAGATGGTAAACAGATTATAGACACTCCCCCTCTCCAACCAAAAAAACACAAGATGGTAAACAGATTATAGACACTCCCCCCCACCACCAAAAAAACACAAGATGGTAAACAGATTATAGACACTCACCCTCTCCAACCAAAAAAACACAAGATGGTAAACAGATTATAGACACTCCCCCTCTCCAACCAAAAAAACACAAGATGGTAAACAGATTATAGACACCCCCCCCCACCACCAAAAAAAACACAAGATGGTAAACATATTATAGACACCCACCACCACCACCAAAAAAACACAAGATGGTAAACAGATTATAGACACCCCCACCACCACCAAAAAAACACAAGATGGTAACAATGTACTGTAGAAAATTCAGCTACTGGTTGTGTTGTAAGAACCACTATTCATTGACATTTCCACCCTGAAGAAAAATATTCTGAGATATTGATCTTAATGGTATTTAATTGTCCTGTAATAAGCTAACACTATTGACTCTGAGTAAGATGTATTGCCTCCCTAGCCTTATCACATGATAATAAGATCAACCATCCTCTAATCCTACCTCAGTATCTTCATCTTTTTTACTCCTACGTTTAGCGGCAGGTTTGGCAGGTCGTTTTGGCGAGGCTTTCTTGGGTTTCTCCTCTTCTTCCTCCTCTTCCTGCTCCTCTCTCTCCTTCGCCACTTCCTCATGGATCTTTTTTATCCTCTCCGCCTCCTCCTTCAGACGTCTACACCAAAATAATTGGATGTTTTACATCTACATGCAATTCATCGCTGTTACCAATGATATAGACTAAGATTGGGGTATTTTAATAATACTGAGGGAGTGATGCTTAAAAGCTGTAAAAAATAAGTATAATAATTATCAAAATAGTTCCAGAGAAGACGGCATTTGATCAATTAGTAGACCATAAGTAACATTAGTGATAGCTTACTTTTCTTTAATTGGAATGGTGTCACATAATGAAACAAGGAACAAGACAGCTCAATAACGGGCACATTCTGAAGTTTTGCTCCTCTATACAGTCACAATGTAGGGACAATTGTTAACATTTCTATTTAGCTTTAACAAGGTAAGATACAGTTTTAGTACCTGTTTATCTACCAATAAAAGTAAAAGTGAACCTGATGAATGCTTACAAAAGTTTTACCAAACAGCATTAATTCTATAATTAATGGATTACAGACCCTAAAGCACATAATCTTGTATGACCAATGTATACACCAAGTTTTATAATCTTACTTTTAATGCAAGCAAAGTTATGCTCTGAACTCAACATTTTAATCTGAAGATCTGTGAATGCAGAAGCAACTTTTAAAACATTAACAATTAGTGATTTTAGTAAAGGTTTCCCTCCCTGTCACTGCGGGGAGAGGAGATAAAATCTATAGGATTCCTGACATAATCACTTACTTCTCTTCTGCTTCCTTTATCTTCTGTTCCATTGCTTTCTTCCTTTCTGCATCTTTCTTTTTCCAGCTACTAACCCCATCCTCAGAGCCATCACTACAACATCAATCAATGATAAGTAAAGATCAGTACACCACCATAAAGGCATCTCTACCTCAGAACAGATTGTTGAAAGTTTCATGGTAACTTCATGATGGACTAAAATAATGAAATTAAAATTTCTTTAATGGGACTATAGCAGATGATGGGTATTACATATTTTCACATTTTATAAAGTTATGTCGTAAAACACAAGTCAGATATTGAAATTTTCGTGGGACTGAACAGATTATTCATTGGCTTGAAGGCAGCACATTCTTCTCTCAAGCTTATCTAGACATAATAATGGATTTCAGATCCTAATCCTTCAACCACATGCAGCCTTTCTGTGACATATTGTGAAATGTGTGAGGTTAAAATAATATAACATCACAAGTGAAACGATCAAAGCTCCACTGGCATGTGTTAAACTATCAACAACAACAACAACAACAACAGTCTGTCAGTTTATGAATTAAAACAAGAATGTTACACAACAAATCTAGCGTGGTGATTGGAGAAATGAGGCACATTTTTTTAGCCATTTCCATCATATACAACTATTTATAGCCAGTCCTCAACGTAAATATAAATATCTATATAAGATGGCTATCACTGTAGACCTCCACCTCCCACACTATAACCACCCCATCCACACTATAACCACCCCACCCACACTATAACCGCCCCTCCACACTATAACCGCCCCATCCACACTATAACTGCCCCACCCACACTATAACCGCCCCACCCACACTATAACCGCCCCATCCACACTATAACCGCCCCACCCACACTATAACCGCCCCATCCACATTATAACCGCCCCACCCACACTATAACCGTCCCATCCACACTATAACCACCCCATCCACACTATAACCACCCATCCACACTATAACCGCCCCATCCACACTATAATCAACCCATCCACACTATAACCGCCCCATCCACACTATAACCAACCCTTTAACTTTCACTGCCTTCTTGATTCAAAATGATGCTTCAGGATTAGAGTTTCATCAGTCTAAGCTCCACTAAATTAACTTGTAGTCAGTATTTCTTTAGACAATTACCTGTCACTGTCAGAGCTGTAACTCAACACCATCATCTCACTAGATTTACCTGTAGACAGTATATCTATAGATTATTACCTGTCACTGTCAGAGCTGTAACTCAACACCATCATCTCACTAGATTTACCTGTAGACAGTATAACTTTAGATTATTACCTGTCACTGTCAGAGCTGTAACTCAACACCATCATCTCACTAAATTTACCTGTAGACAGTATAACTTTAGATTATTACCTGTCACTGTCAGAGCTGTAACTCAACACCATCATCTCACTAGATTTACCTGTAGACAGTATATCTATAGATTATTACCTGTCACTGTCAGAGCTAGCACTTGACACCATGGTCTCCACTTTCCCTGCCTTCTTTCTTCCTGCTCCAGTTGATGCACGTCCTAAATACAAATATTATAAATCATTAATGGTGAAGTCTTATACTATAGGATGTATTCTCTACTTATCAGAAATGTAACTTTTATGCTATATATATAGATCATCATATTATAAATATTTGTTACAATATTATGAAATGCTTGAGAATCTTTTAAAATAAGAAGGAAGATTTGTTTTCAAATGAAACAGGATGATAATATGATCTGCTATCCTAGATTACCTCCAGCTTGAGTACCCCTTACATTCTGATACCCTGAATTACCTCCCTTACTCTATAACCTACCTCCCTTACTCTATAACCTACCTCCCCTCTTGCTACTTGACCCCCCTCCCCTGCTCTGACGTCGAGGCTGAGCAGGTTTCTTGGATTTCTTTGGTTTTTCTTCTTCCTCCTCCATGTCCTCATCCTTGTCATCTTTATCTTCCTCCTCTCCATCCTCACTTTCGTCTTCAGAGGATTCTTTCTTTGACTTGCCTCCTTTGGATTTAGATGATCCCTTGGGACGACCTCGACCTTTAGGCTTTTTTTCTTCAAGATCAAAATCCTGTATGAAGGTGAAAAAAGTGATTTGTATTAAGTCCTCCATCATTATTACTTTCTGTCACTCTGACTGGACAGTTTCCACAGAGGTACCTGTAACAGTCCTTTTGGTTGTCTTATTTCTTCATTTAAATCTGGATTCTATATGTCATTTTGATTTTTTGATATCTGGATTAGACATCATGTTAATATCTAACTTCCTAATTAACAAGATTTGTGTTTGTATAAAATTTGAAGATCACCAGCAGACACTGAGTAACTACACATACAATACAGATAATTAATTTCTTTTGATAAAAACATTTAAAGTCACACATACACATGAATACCCAGTGTCATATGAACTGCGTGATTTATATGAAACCAAGTTATTGTGGGATTAAAATATGATTGACATCAACGAATCATACAATATTTTAAAATAATTCCTGTGCTTTGTCTGAAATTCATGCAGGTTTATTTTTATGTAACCATCTTTGTCTGCTTCAGGAACAAGTTAAGACATGATGAAAATATCAACATGAAAGCATATCTTCAGTATTATCACATCAATCTATCGGTTAAGAAACTCTTTTACCTGCATTGTTTGTCATCTGAATACCAAGTGCATCATCATGTAAAATTTAATATTTTAAAATTCTTATTCTTACAAGCTGTTTAATCTCCATGGTTCAAATATTCATGTTCTTCTAAAAGGTTGAAGCAAAGTGAATTAAATTTTCACTAAGTCTACAGACAGCCAACGTTTTCCTTTTTCTTCTTCTTGAATTTTCCGGGTATTTTTCATGATTTCATTACATCAGTATTAAAAAGAAAAGTATGAAACCCCTCGAAAACGACAAATTTACAAATGCTCTTTTCAGAAACAAATGACTACCAATTTTTATAGTCTATTGAATCTTACTGTGAAACTGTCCAAAAACAAGGGACTGTGCAGACCGATAGATGTTCTGTTGATTTTAAAACAAAGTACAAACAATTTTCATATAATATATCTCGGGTAGGAGCATGCAGTGATGTATATATACTATAATTCAAGTGACAAATAACAGAATCTTATAACGTAAGTTCTGTATAAATTACACACTTCATCATCGGAGTTATCAGAGGGTGGAGAAACAATATCGTCAAAATCTTCATCCTCCTCTGGTTCCTCAGCCTCTTCTTCCTCTTCAGCAGACTCCTTCCTCGCTCGCTTGGCTGGCTTTCCCTGTCAGAAATAAGAGATATTATTGTAGAAATACGCAAACATACTTACAATCAACGTAAGCCGAGTAAACTAACCCATAGAGTGCATCACAGGAAGGAAAAATCAGGTACAAACAGACAAGTTAAAGGTTTATTCACACAAGTGAAAATGACTGTGTAAACCTGGTATATAATACACAAAATGTCAAGGCAGAAACGAACAAGAAGAGATTTGCCTCACTTTCCAAAGTAAGAAAAGTAATAAAACAATTACTGCACTATTATTGATTAACAAAGGAAATACAGACTGTGGCCTCTGGCGATATTTCATTTTCTGCTCCATAAATTCTCATATCACACCTTGAATAGTGCAATAAAGTATGTAACAGGTGTCATAACACTGGTGACAGGGTAACTATGTGACATTACACTGATGACAAGGTAACTATGTGACATTACACTGGTGACAGGGTAACTATGTGACATTACACTGGTGACAGGGTAACTATGTGACATTACACTGGTGACAGGGTGGGACATTACACTGGTGACAGGGTAACTTTGTGACATTACACTGGTGACAGGGTTGGACATTACACTGGTGACAGGGTAACTATGTGACATTACACTGGTGACAGGGTGGAACATTACAATGGTGACAGGGTAACTTTGTGACATTACACTGGTGACAGGGTGGGACATTACGCTGGTGACAGGGTAATTATGTGATAATCTCCTTTACTACAGAACCACCTACCCCAGCAGTAGCTTTCTTTCTCTTTTGTGGTCCCTTAGCTTTGGCAGGCTGTTTCTGAAAACAATCACAACACATTTAATCAATAATAAGCCTACAAACCAACTAAAAAAAACATCACCGGTGTCAACCAATCAAATGGCAATTTTTGTGGAACACAAACTTGCAAGTTTTATAAAAGTATATGTTTTATTTTGTTGTAATGGCATTTAAAGGCAGTTTCCCATCTGTGAGCAAATCTTTCAGGAAATTCCGAAGATAAACTATGACAACCAATTTCACTGTAGTCGAAAATGATAAAAAAAGTTTTAAGTCTAATGCTGCAGTTCAGCTTCAAGTCAAGAGAAAATGTATTAGGTGGATATATTTCCATGCAGAATATGTAAAAGTATTATTTCTTGGGTGGACAGTCAATTTGGGGAAATCTAACCTTTTTCCCTTTAGGTTTAACTTTCTCTTCCTCCTCTTCCCCTTCTTCTTCCTCCTCCTCTTCTACCTGTTCTGCTTCAGGTTCCTCATCTGCAGAGTCTGAACTTTGCTGAATAGGATTAAAAGTTGTTTGAATCACATTTTCTGCATATATATTTACATAGGTTAAAAGAAGATTTACCAAAATAATTTTTATCCACATAAAATGTCACTTTTGAGAGGCTACAGCCTTTAACATGTTATCACCTTACATAGCAATAGTCTAGTATTTATAATACCTATTTTAATGTCATCAGATTATGTCACACACCCGAAAATAAATTCCTGACATCGTGATAGATGAATTTAACAGGAAAGAAAATGTATATTTCAAGGTTTATTTGTACAAATAATTTTGATCAGTAGAGAAATTATTTTAGTCTCAAACAAGATTTACTGATTTGTTTAAACATTTTTCAGACTTGTTTTTGTCTAACATGGAAAGTAGCACATGTGATATATACAATATTTCTTAATAGGGAAATAACAAAAACATTATCATACTCACTGCCCCCTGAAACTTAACATTTGGGTTGTTTGTGATCTCCCATAACCCCTCATTGAATCCTTTTATTTTCTTTAACACTGCATATTTTTCTTTGTTTTCTTCATAGGGAAATACATCCTTCGGTGCAAGGAAGGCACTATAATTAAAATGAACATGTGTATTGTAAATCATTATTCAAGGACAATATTCAATAATACAGCTGAAAATTCTGATAACATTCTAGTTAATCAGTTTTTGTTTGAAATTTTTTGTGAAAAATAACTGCCATGATTTATTCTTATTCATTCACTTGTTTCTTATGCTTGAATCAATACCACAATCAGGATTATTTTTTTCTAAATTGAAACAATGAAATACACCATGGATGTGCTAAATTGACTCATTGATGTTGTGAACTTATCAATGTCATGCTAAGCTGAAGAGATTACATGCATATGAAATTTGTTTTTTATTTGTAGGTTGAATTTGACCTTTCGTTGACTGTCTCCAATCTTGATAACAGTAACAGTGTATTTCAGGGTATTTAGTCTATTTAATGATTACTTTAAATGATAATTTCAGTATGGCACTGATAGCTGTATCCAACCCTACACTGTAGACCTATTTTTGCTTTTAAAAGGGCGGGCTAAAATTAGTAAAATTATGTTTAACTCACGTTTCATGTGTTCCATAAAAGAAAATAGGATATTTTCCCTTCGGTGGCTTGACTGCTCCATCAGGTAAATCATCAATCTGTAAAGAAAATTAATGTTAAAAGTTCATGGATATTTTTTCTGCAAACAGTTTTAATACAAATTATTTTTTCTTGAATCAGCCACGGTAAAGAATTATAATTGTGCAACAGAGATTATCAGTTGAGGAGGTGTACAAGACATGCATTAATAAAGGTGCCTTGAAACAAGTTTTATGGAAAACAACACAAAAGATGAAATATTCAATAACAAGGTCACATTAATCAGAAGCCATTAGAGTTCACAAATTTTGTGTTGTCGGTATAAATCGAAGAATTTCATCTTTATGTAACTTGTGATTATATACATAATTTCAGCTTTCTCTCCTGCTTTTCTGTGTATTCTCCGATTATCAATATCAACAGACACATATTTTTTATGATGGCCAGGACAAGATCGGGTATTTGTCATCATTCATACTCTTGGTTAAACTGACGGTGAATGGACTTCGGGCGTTAATGTATTCTATCAAGACGTTTACTGACTGGATTATATACACGTGTACAGTTTACAAAAAAAAACCATCTTTTTTTCCTTATTTCTAAATATCAGGAGATTGCTATAAAATTGCATGTGAAAAAAACAGGTCTTTATGTCGATTCAACGACGTACCCGAGCAGGCCAATGGGGAAAGCCTTTCATCTTTGCAAATATCTTGTCTCCAGGTTTATAGTCATCCTTCACCATCTTGAAGCCGGTTTGTAGTGCCGAACAATATATTGCAAATGTATGAAAATGGCGTCAGGCCTTGAAATCAGACAGACTGCTTTGTCAGTCAACGAACAAGCGACAGATCTATATGCATGGCGCAATATGAAAACATTCTCGAATCATATTTTTAACTGATATAAAATGTCGACTAATGATACGAATTACGATCGCCAATGCACCAAGAGAAGTGCTGGAAATCGCTAATTTACTCTGGTCCGCATCCCGCTAATGCAGGCAGCCATCTTCGTTTAGATCTCGTAAAGTCACGCGAGATTTACAGAGTTTGGCGGGAAGTGGTTATGTTATGTGACCGAGTTTCTGTTCGATAGGTAGCCCCGGTCGAACTGTAATCAGAAGTTTAATTAAGCTTATTTCAAGTTATTTTTAATCACTACGAGGTCAATTCATGACTCACGTGAAACAAAACTGCCATTTATCGTGTTCCTTCAATATTAGCCGTATGGGATGTTTGATTGCAACTGAAATATTCAGGTTAAAGATGTAGTTTGAATTATATAGTAGGATTCGAAGCTCACCAGGGACAGAAATTAAAACAATGTTTTAATTATATACATATTTCAATTTTTATTTTATCGTCGATCCCCAACTTGTAAAACATGACGACTGTAGGCTTCATCGTATTCTGTCTGTCTGTTAGTCCGCTCGTCACACCCAGCACTCGTTTACATAAATTATGCATTGGAATTTGGTTTGTGATTTAATTAAAAAAAAAAAGGGAGGGAGGAAGGGCATTTTCATTTCTGAATAGTATCTTTTACAAAGTTAAAATATAGCCCCGGGACTTATAACTAAACAATGTATTAAGAGATATATAGGTTTTGCTGGACTAGGCTGAGTGTGTAGATGATCTGAGAGCCTTCCTATAGTGTTCGACACTACAGGGGTCAACACTTATATCTGGTGTATGATTAAAGTTACAAAAATGAAAACTTTTCTCAAAACCGTGCTTATAAATACAAAAAAGAAAACCAAAATGAAGAAAGGAAAAGGAATGTGACTGAAGTAAATAGTATAGAAAGTAAGATACCATGGGTATACTAACAGCTGTAAGTAATTAAATAAAATATACGTATTATAACGAGCAGGTAAAACAGTCTTAAAATAACTACAAAATTTACAGAGGTGAAGACTGAGAAAGAGTGAGTTGAAGTAGAAAAGATGAGGTATCTTAGCCCGTTAGAAATCAGTTATTGTGGATGCCGGTTTAATTGTTCCGGACAGTGGAAAATAGAAATAAACCTTGTTTTCTGTCACGTGCTAGTTTTCGATAATTCTCTTTAATGAAAATTCAAATACACGTAATACAAATCAGCACTCATATTAAGAAGTGATATATAGGTTGTTGGTACCAGGCGAGGTTTTTACATCTTGTGTTCTGACCAGTACTGGAAGAGTTGCCTCCCCTGGTCCACTACTGTGTTAGTGGGGAGAGCCACTAATGAGTGGTATAAGTATGCAAAACAAAGAAAAGTAGTTAGATTTTTTATTGAGAACTTTCTATTGACAAAACTATGGAATATGCAATGTTAAATGTCGATTATTTTTCCAAAGAACAGATACTGTTCAATAACCTTTTCATATCTAATGTTAGAGCAAGCGTATTCTCTCTCATTTGAATGTGCTTACAGTCACACTTTCAAAATACAAATTTTTGTTTTATTCTATCATTATTGTTTGTACTGTAATGGATGTAGAAACTAATCCGGGTCCCTGACTAAATATCTGTTTTTCATTTGAATGTCAGAAGTATAGGGAATAAATCGAAATAAAAAAAAATCTTATAAACAAATTAAACATTTACATCTACATGTCATTATACCCAATTCTGAACTCATCCTGCCTGGGGTTATAGAACCGCTAGGAAAAGACACAACTTTCTCCGGTGGCGGTATTTTGGTACATTATTTTAATTCTTTAAAAAAGGAATGATCTGGAATTTCTGGACGGGGAAGTAATTTGGATACAGGTTGAATTAGGGGATACTAGTTTATTAACATGTGCCGTTTATAGACCAGACGAAAATTATCGTCATCCTGTTTTGGAAAATTTTAAGTTTTCTATAAAAAAAGCATTAGGTAATACCTCAAATGTTGTTATTGTTGGTGATATAGACGTAGTCATGCTACCACTGTCAAATAATCATATATCACATCAAACTATGTTGGAATTGGACTTAACTAATGCAATTAACGAGCCGACTGGGGAGGCACAACCAGAACTAGCTTACCATGTCCTATTTTATTAACTGATCCTTAGTGATGCAATAATTCAAATGTTATTCCTATTGGTCGTAATATCCGTGATAATGATGAATGTGTTGTAATATTGTCTATACCTGTGAATCTTGTACATATACCAGAGACGCTGGGCCTATAGACATGCTAAATCTAATAGATTAAACAATTTGATAGGTACTTTTGACTGGTCTGCTTTTTTAAAGATTCACTTTTGTTAATGATGCCTGTGCTGATTTCACAAAATAGTTTTTGGCATTTGCTAAAGAATGTATACCTAAGAAAACAGTTCATATAAGGCCAAACGATAAACTGTGGATGAATCCGGAAATAAAAAAAGCTGTTCAGTTCCAAGACCGTTTACATAACGCCGTCAAACGTGTTAAGTCTATTTCAATTATAGAGAAATTTAAAATAATTTATGAAATAAGGTAAATGATATTAAAAAATATGAAAGAGAAATGTTTTATGATAATGACAAATTGTCGCCCCTGAGGCATGATGGCTGGTTTTACTTCATTTCCGAAGAAAATGTGAAAAAGTGTGTTCTTGAGGGAAACGGAGGGAACGTGTAAGTGTTAAGCTGCCTAGCATGGTTTTATAATTCCGACTCACTGTCTGGAACTGTTCATATCACCCCAAATGTTGCCTATATCCTGACTTCAAACTACGTATACATGTATACTACGTTGTGCGTGCGGAGTTCACGATAATTATGAACTGTGTATGAACTTTGTGACCAATGCACATATTCTACTCTCCAATAACTCCGTTTATTCGATCTGTAATATCATGTGTGCATACTTCGAACTTCTATGGCCACATTCCATACCATGTTTTAATAACATACACCTGTATACGTATATGTATTTTGGTGAAAAGAAAACGTATAGTAAAGCATACAAAAGAAGAAACGCCAATAAGCCTTGGATTACACGTGAGTGCCATAGTAAAAGAATAGACTTTCATAAAGCTAAACGTCAGTATAACGTCGATAAAACTCTCGCAAATAAAATTACTCTTAAAAACACAGGTACAGAGTATAGGAAAACTTTGAACAAGTCATATAGAATTCACCAAGAGGAAATGGAAACGGAACTGAGAAAAGTTTCGAACCTAGAGCTGAAAACCTTTTGGCATATTTTGAATGAAATTGATGGCCCCTGTAAGGAACAGAAGCTAAACAAAATATTAATGAATTATATAACTACTTTAAAGAGTTGAATAAGGGAGGTAACTCTGACGAGATGTTTGACGATGTGGTTATAGATGGGGATAGTAGATTTGATCATCTGTTGAATGGAAATATTACTGAGTGTGAAATTAGAGAATCCATTGTAAGTTTGAAGTGTAATAAAGCTTCAGATTTTGACGAAAGTTTAAATGAATATTTAAAATCTACTGTTTAAACCTTTGTATTGTAAGTTGTTTAACATTATATCTAATACTGGTTGTATTCCCGACTCTTGGAAGATAGGGGTTATTAAACCCATTTATAAACGTAAAGGAGATCCATCTGACTTAGACAATTACAGGGCTATAAGTCTTGTTTCATGTCTAGGAAAAGTTTTTACATCAATTTTTAATAACAGATTAAACAAGTTGACTGATGAAATTAATCTAATTACCTGCTCACAGGCTGGCTTCAGGAAAAATCATTCCACCACTGACAACATTTTTATTCTACATGCATTGACTTCTATTTATTTTTCTCTAGGAAAGAAATTATTCTGTTCATTTATAGATTTCAGAAAAGCTTTTTAATCAGTTTGGAGAAAAGTTCAAAAGAGTAATATAACCGGGAAGATGTTCAAAGTAATATTTAATTTGTATGCAAATACTAAATCTTGTGTAAAAATGGAAATGAATTGTCAGAAATGTTCAATTGTAATATCGGGGTAAAACAGGGAGAACATTTATCACCGTTTTTATTTTCAATTTATCTTAAAGATTCTTGAAGATTTTCTTGCAGAAAATAATGTTAATTGTCTTCAAACAATAGAAACTTTGAGTGAAAAATAGAAATGTACTTAAAATTGTTTATTCTGTTGAATGCAGACGACACCATTATTATGTCTGAAACAGCGGAAGGACTTCAATCTGCTCTTAATACTTTTGAAGTATATTGTAATACCTGGAAGCTTAAACCAAATTTGTTATATTTGCAAAGAGAAAAGATCGTACAGCCTTCCATTTTACATTGTGTAGTGAAGAAATAGAAATTCTTGATGAATTTCCTTATTTGGATGTTTTAATTAATTACAACGGAAGTTACTTTAACGCTAAATCTAAGTTAATTGAACAGTCTAAAAAACCAATGTTTGATGTTTATAAGAAAATAAGAAATATTCAGCTTCCAGTAGACCTTCAGTTGAAGATTTTTGACTCACTTGTGTTGCCTATAATTTTATATTCAGTAGACGTTTGGGGTTTTGAAAATTAAAGTGCCATTGAAAAACTTCATTTACAATTCTGCAAACGTATTTCAGGTATTAGAAGAAGTACACCTAATTTTATGATTTATGGTGAATTGGGGAGATTCCCTTTACTTATCGAAGCTAAAAGCAAAGTAATTATGTTTTGGTATAAATTAATTACCAGTAATAACTTGTCAAGTATTATGTATAACTTAATGTACAATCTACAAATTAGTGGCAATATGGATTTTAAATGAAAACTGTTCAAAATATATTTATAGAAACTGATTTAAACTTTATCTGGGACTACCAGAAAATATGTACATTTAATAGAAATTATTTGAAACTTGCCGTTAAGCAAAAATTACAAGACCAGTTCCTACAAAAATGGTTCAGTGATGTAATGAATTCCTCTCGAGGAAATACCTATTGCTTAATGAAAAGTAATTTTGAATTAGAAAAATATCTTTTGAAACTTAAACCTAGAGAAAGACAAATTATCGTTAAATTTAGAACTTCAAATATGCATTTACCTGTAGAAACAGGAAGATGGATTGGGATACCAAGGGAGAA